CTTTGCTTGTACACCCATCATATGAATATATTTACATATGATGGATGATTCTGCAACTTCATCTCCAAGCACTTCTGTAGTCTCATCTTCGTCTCACAATTCTCCATTTTCTTCTCCAAGAACTCAGTCCTTGCGCCCATATGGTACTCACTTCAGATATTGCCTTCAAGGACCTTATGACACAACATCAGTTGGACACTGCACGTCCTGCCAAAGTCTCTCTTCTCCAAACAAAAATAATAATTTATCTTCTCAAATGGGATCATGCTTTATTAAAGAGGAGCACAGCTTATCCGGAGGACAGCAGTTTGCGAGTTTGTGCACCCAGTGTGAGATCACTATTCCATCTTTTATTGTTCTTATTCATTGTGCATAGGACCTTGACTACCCATTATTCAACCAACCAGACCAAGACGACCACTCCAATCTTGCCCTTGAAGTAGCTCAAGCAAAACACAGGATTTGTCAAGCTCAAAAGACCTCACAGACAGCATCTTGGAGCACTACATAGTGCTTACTAACCTCCATCACCATTGTGTAGAAGCCATGAACATGCAATTATTGATGGCTGACCTCAACATGGGACACATGCATATAGAGCAGAGGAGAAATGGTATCCCAATGTTTGTTGGGTCCAGGGCTGGTGGTACAAGTCAGGTAGACTATTTTTTTCAGGTATCAATGTACTGAGAGCTCTATTTAGTACTCAGCTAACTGGATGACTGAATTCAAGAATTGAGTTTATATTGTTAATGTCTTGTACATTGATACATACTTGTATAATCTGTAATGCTTGTACAATCTGTAGTCCTTGTGGTGTTTGTCTGCTTGTCCGCTTGTACTTAGCAGCTCGAAATTTTGAATTGCTTGTAATGGCTGTAATACCTTGTATGGTTTGTGTAGAATTGTTGTTCGTGTGACACCTGTCACCAAATTAGTATGCAGGCGTGTTACGAGTGCAGAGGACGTCAATTTCACTAGAACTCATTTTTATGTAAGTCTGGTCAAGCTAGTGATCGAAAATTTCATGCCATCCCGTATTGCTTGACAATCGGTTCAAACCAGGTTCAAGAATTCTGCAACATCAGTAAATTCACAAACTCCTTAACATCCTTTTTCGCCACTTGTCACGAAAATCTTCAACATGTTGCTGCTTATTATTCTTATCACTTGTCATTTTTCTTTCACAAGCACTCACAAGTAAATACGTGATTCACAAGTGCCCACAAGTGCAACAAGCGCCGAAAGCAAGAAAGACGAAAGTGTGTCGTAGATTACAAGTAAATAAAATTTTACTATGAATAACTACTCCTCGAACATTTGTGAATGAGACTTAAGTTCTGATAGTGGCGGCACATATGGGACTGGATGCATGAGAACATTGTCAGTGACTGGAAATTTCAACTCTAGACAACTTGCTCACCATTCTGAAAAATGACGCTCACAGATATGGTATGTATGTTCGTACGTGGATCGATGCAGACGCTGATGCGATCGATAGCATTGAGTCCGGTTCGAAGTGCATCAGTGGCCAATAGTGACAACAAACCTTTATTATACGCGGGGGAGGCGTAACAAAGCGAGACGCTCGGATATCGAAGGGCAAGGGAGGACTCGGATTGGTTTTTGGAGGGGGGTGAAGGCAGTCTTCAGTTGCCTGGATCAAGAGACGCTCGAGGCCATTCATGACCTGGCATGATGTTGAGCGCCTGCAGAGTGGTAGAGTAAAGGTGAGTTAGTACATCTGTGAATGCCGAACAACTAACTCACCTACATTAGTGTTAGAATGTGCTTGAATATGAGAACGAATGAGGATTGATATGACTGGGAACGGATCAGGGAGATGGCTGTTGCAGCCCGCGAAGGAGGGACTGGAAATGGACCAGGAGGAGATGGCTGCGGTTGCTGTTGCAGACCCACAAAGGAGGGACTGGGAACGGATCAGGAGGAGATGGCTGCGGTTGCTGTTGCAGACCCACCAAGGAGGGACTGGAATAGACCAGGAGGAGATGGCTGCGGTTGCTGTTGCAGACCCACCAAGGAGGGACTGGGAATAGACCAGGAGGAGATGGCTGCGGTTGCTGTTGCAGACCCGCCAAGGAGGGACTGGGAACGGACCAGGGGGAGATGGCTGTGGTTGCTGCTGCTGACGAGATACATCTTGTTCAGCAGAAGGTTAACAGTCTTGAGAAAGTTCTCGACAGTGAGATCGTCACCTACCGCATGAGGTTGTACATAGTCGTGATCTTCATAAGGTGGAGGTGGACAACCGGGAGCCAGACCCTTCAGTCACTTCTACTGCATAACCTGTTGATAGGACATGTACATTGGCCTGCAAAACCAGGTGTACAGGACACTGGCCGGTCTGTGCACTTACTGTATAAGCCAGTCATGCAGAAGCCTTGTAGGCCGATGCCTCATATAGAGAATGTTACAGGGTTAGCTGGTGGACTTCTGCACTATGGTGGATTAGGCCTGCTGCCTCTGCATTGTGTGGAAGGTGGTCGGCCAGCTGAACATTGCATTTGAACTGATCGGCCAGCCTCCCCATGCAGTCTGTATGACAGGGGCGACCGATGGGCTTCTGTACTGTAGTGCATTAGGCCTGCTGCCTCTGCAATTTGTGGAGGGTGGTCGGCCGGCTGGCCATTGCATTTGAACTGATTTGCCAGCCTCTCCATGCAGTCTGTAAGATAGAGGCGGCCGATGGCCTTCTGCACTGTGGTGTATTAGGCCTGCTGCCTCTGCAATTTGTGGAGAGTGGCCGGCCGGCTGAACATTGCATTTGAGCTGATCGGCCAGCCTCCCCATGCAGTCTATATGACTGGGTCGGCCTGCATGCTTCTTACTTGAGTAAGCAGTCCAGAAATATTTTTGGTTACATTGAGTTCATGATGAGCTTATCGATTGATGTATGTAGTTTACTTTACTACATCATGACTGTAAATATTGTCTATTATTTGAGCCTCACTCATTTACAATGTTCATCTTTTATGTCAATGAGTGAAAGGAGACCAGTCGTGGTGCTCTATCCTACATAGGTCAGCCTGCATTTCTGGACTGGCCACCCTAGCTTGTGACCCTATACTCCAACCAGCCGACCAGGGGATGCAGTCTGTCTGTCATGGACAGCCACCACTGTGATTTCCCATTGTAGATGGGCCAGCCTGAATTTGCAGCCTGCAGATCTAGGCCGGCCGCCCTTGTTTGTGACTCTAACACCAACCGGCCGGCCAGGGAATGCAATCTGTATGGGATGGACAGCCACCACTTTGGTTCCCTATTGTAGATGGGCCAGCCTGACTTTGTGGCCTGCAGCCTGCGCCGGCCGCCCTTGTTTGTGACTCTAACACCAACTGGCCGGTCAGGGGATGCGGTCTGTATGGGATGGACAGCCACCCATCTCACATGGGCCATCCAACCTTTGCAATATGTATTTCTGCACCAGCCATTACAACATTTTGGAGAGGGATGTGTACCCTCATCTAGCACATTTCAAAGTCAAGTAATTACATTACGAAGCCATCTCCAATATCAACTTGTTGTACTCCATTTTCCTTGAAAACCTCTTGTTCCCTCAGCTGCAAACTCAGCCCACATGACAGCCTGCTTTTCAGCATATGTGTTATGTCCATTCTTGATACTCTCTCCTGACCTCCTTCTCCACATCAATTGCTGGTTCTGAAACCAGCATACTGTCCAATACATTTCATGCTGCACCAACTTCAGCTCTTCACTCCAATGATCATACCATGCTTTTGCTTTCAACCAATTCACCTGATAAACTAGGAATGGGGAACATAAGCTCGTTGCATTGATAAAAATCAGATAAGATTTAAACTCACACTCATACATCCACTCACTCTTCTGACTATTAGTCACACTGTTGATTCTCCAAAACCAAGCCAGCTTATCGGAACCCTGGCCATGCCTATTTTCCTCAGTGACTTCTTTGCTCACTGCAAGGTCATCAGCCTTTAGAGATTGATAGGATGTCAATGTATCAGAGTCAGCCCCTAATCGTTGCATTGCTGCCCTTGATCAACGGTATTCTCGAGCATGTTTGTTGATGGCCAGAGTTATTTTTTGAAGTTCCTTCGTTGATCTAGTGCCCCAATGATGGACCAATTTGTTGGAGTGCAATTTCTCTTGAAATACCACAGATCTGTCACCGAGTGCTTGACGAAGCTTCTCCAGGCAGTCATTTGCTTGACCCTTTCGAAGCTCTAGTTCTTTTTGCCGTAATGCCATGATAACATCGTCCATGATGGCATCCAAAGTTCTGCAACCTCTGCAGCTGAGTCAGCATTGTCACTGAGGGTCCAAAATACTGTCTTCCTCCAGAACATCGATTCCTGGAAAATTATATCCATCAGCCTCCTCCAGGCACAGTTCAGGGTCATCCTGTTGCAATCCCTCTCCGCCCTCCAATTCCATACCATTTGTAATCACCATTGCAGTCTCGTAGAATTTATTAATCCGTGACAAGAGCTTCTGTCTTTTTCTTCTATCATGATTTTCTGAGAAGCAGTTGGATCATCTGACTATTATCTTATAGAAGATCTCAGGGCATCCCTAGTAATACAATTTGAGTCAATGACAATTTGTAAATTTGAATATCTTACTGAGCATTTTCAATATTCATACCCTCAATCAACCATGCAATGGCCCCAGTCTGACCAATGGTGGACAGTTCATTTTCAGTCAACCTTAGCCTTATTTTAGTCATAGTTGGAGCTTTTGATGATTTACAATCCGCAATAACTAAAAGTTCAATTTCACCAAACCTACCTTTATCCATTCTAAGCTGATAGATGTCAAGACGCTCGCCACGGTCAAGAGCCGCTAGTTCAGCTTCCTTCTTCCATTTCTGGACATCAGCCAGATCAAGTGAATTTGTCAATTCTTCATATGGACCCTGAGTGTTATTAACACCCTGTATGGCATGATGATACTTTTTTAGTAATGATTTGACTATTTAAATGCCTTGTTAGTCAAAGTTAACATTTTTGAGGTAAAGAGGACTTGCCAATTCTGACAAGCTTCCTCCAATTAGAATCCCTCATATGGTCGTCCAAGACTTCCTTTCTGTGAGAGAGAGTCATGGATCTTGCAGTTGGAGAAATCTTGTTAAATGGAGCCCAGAGGGTCTCCAAGATTTCTCCATCAACATGACCAGCTCCTGTAATAAAATTGAGGCTGAATCTGGCAAAGCATGGTAGCTTATGGGCACTCAAATGAAACTTGCCAATTGCTGGCAAAATTTTTATTGATCGAGGAACAGACAGGCGATAGCTCTGATCCACACGTTCATGGAAGTGGATGCTCCACTGGCATGCAACATCATAGATTATGAGTGCACTGCTGATATCTTCTGATGGATATTTCAACGCATTGCAAATGGAATAGTCCATGTTCATTTGCCTGACCACCGTCAGCACAAAGTTGTAATACAACAATGAAACTACATACTGTTCACCCTTCTGAAAGTCTACTACAGCATGAGGAACAAAACATCCATGCCTAGCACATGCTGTTGCCCCAACACCTGTAGCTCTTAGGTTGCTTCTCTGAACGTTGGCTGCATTCACAGCACGGTGATTGCTACAAGATGATTTCTGAGATTATATTAGACAACATTTCCAAAGAACATGTCATGAAATACTTGCCTCTTTCCCTTCAACAGATTCTGTTATGTGAGTTTCATAAGGTCCCTCTGTTACCATGTATCCCTTTCCATCCGCCAGTGAAACATCATCTTCCGGAGTCTTCATCTTCATATGTTGCGCTGTAAAATTTCCATTGACAACATATCTTTGCATTACCAACCCCAACCAACTAAATCCACCAATTAGCTTGTCTAATAATTATCACTGACAGAACTTACTCATCATAGGAATCCTTCCAAGATGAGGGTAAGTTGATGCCAGGTTGAGGACACGTTGGACAATAAAGAGCTAAATCCCCTGGGCCAGGAGATCTGTCTGTCTCATGTCCAAAACCAAACCGTATTCTATTCATCAAATCCCTCCATATACGGGACACCTGCATTAGTTCACGGTAACGATCCTGTTTTATCATGTAGCCAGGAGTTCAATAATAAAGAAATTGCTCACAGGTATTTTATGAGGGAAAGCATTGTTGGTGAAATGACATAGCTTTTGGTGGGGACTCATAGCTGAGGTTTTGCACTCCAAAGTGTCTATGAGGAAGTTATCCAGAACGTCGAAGGTGAAAGCAGATTGAGGGCGAGTGATGCTGGGAGGAAATAACCTCGCTTTGAGGAGATGTAGGTGTCTGTCCATCTCAGCTCCAGGACACTGACACCAGGATACACGGTGTGAGTAAACTCCAGTGGAATGCACAATAACCAGGTTAGATAATCCCGACTGAGTTTCATAATGTATCCCCCTCTCCTTGTCCAAACACATCTTCCATGCTCCAAGATCTGACCAGGGCGATGGGTTTGAATGCTGCACCAAATTGGGGCAAGGATGTCCTCCATGGCCAAGATGCATTATATACTCATGGTCTCATAGGGTAGTGGACTGGTAGAACTTGCCATTCCAAAGTTGAAGGTTGTGGAATGGGTTGTGCTGGTGGGCTTTAACTGCACATGAGGGACACCAAGCATGCTCTCCTGAGCAGGACAGACACCTAATGAGTCCCTCCTCTCCTCCGCAATCCTCACATTGCCCACCATTGATCTGCTGTTCCAATCCCAACACACCGAAATATATTCATCCCTCCAAGGCAGGTACTCCCAAAGGAAATCATTTTGAGTCTGCAATGTTGGCCAATTTTGGAGAATAATGAATTCGACAGAACTCACTTTAGTTTTTCGATGAATACCATTTGAGCCTCTTGTACCAAAATCACCATATATCTCTCTGTCATATTCCACCAGAGAATAATCTTCAATATTTGTTGTGTTTTTGTTTTGATGGTGAGACCAGCTCTATCTCACTGTCAGAGTCTTCATAGATAATCAAACCATTGCTTCTCTCCATGTATCTTTTCCCCTCCGAGTTTTTGATGAGATATATGTATATTTGTAAGCACCTCGTTTTCCTCTTTGTCAAACGAGTATCAGATGAAGATGAAGCTACTCTGACCCTATCATGCTTGGATGTGATTTTTGAGCTCATTGAGATTATGAGTTACGAAGGCTGGAGTGCAACATGAATTTTTGCATGGCTACATAACACACACACCCCCAAAAAAAATAATAAATATTTTCGGGATTCCCCAGTGCTATTTTCTACCCCTTTTCTGTGTCTTACCCTTCTGCCTCCTTCCTACTACTCTAAAAAGAAGCTCTGCATGGGAAACCCTGGCCTTGGTACCCCCCACCCTGTTGTGGCACAGCATCCTTCATAAAGTGGGCAATTACAAACCGTTCTCCATTAAGCCAGGGGCCAATGGAGTGTTCTAGCACCCTTCCTGAGATATAAACCATGGCTCCAGGGGAATAATCAAGCTCTGCATTGAGGTCTTGCCAAGGCCATGTAGCATCGTGATTTCTTCCAAGACTGACAAGAAGATCCAAAAGAGAAGGAGATCCACCACCATCTCTGTGGCTGAACGTAACATGATTAGCAATGATTTCAAGCCCTGAAAAGATTGAGGGCCAAGAGTCCACAGCGACTTTTTTTTTTTTTGGGCTGAACTTTCTTGATGACCTCAGAGAATGCCAAAACACCAGCTTGGAAAAGATCCGGTGCCACCACAGCAGTAATAGTGTTCCACAGAACTTCTGAAGATGTCAAAGCTGCTAGCCATTTTTGGACTTTCTTGGATCCATAATGCTCTGATGTCACCAACTGATCCATTAGTCGCTATGAATAGAGTTAAAACTAGACCCAATATAACAACTTAGTGAAAATACCATACCTCATGTCTTTGCATGAAGTATGCAGGCACCACTGTTATTCGACCAGCCCCAAACTCCCCCCCTGCATCTGGGACCATATAGCCCTCATCTCGCCAAGTTTTTTTCTTTGAGGGGGTAAGAGATTTTAGAAGGGAATCCCTCAAGCCAACAATGATGTTGTTGACATGCTCCTAATCAATCAATTAATTAGCCTTAAGAGGAAATCCCCAACCCGAAACATACTATACAAGAAGGTGTCAAAATATTTGGGAGGTAAACCACTAAAATTTTTCCGTGCCTGTCTACAACAGTTGTTGGATCCGAAATTTTGCCGAGTATTGTTTCAGGGAAGAACTTCTTCAATCTCTCCGTTCCAGCAGAGGACGACCCATCCACATTTGGTGGTGACAACTTGGCCTTATCAGCATACCTGTCCACATCCCAATCAATATTGACTGTAGTTGTGCATTTAAATTCATGTACAGTCACAAATATCTCCTCACTCACTGGGATTGACCATGGCATGTGCAATGGTCAGGGCAGCCTGGTCGATTTCATATTCTGAAATTGACCCATCATCAAAGGTCAAATTATCACCTGATGATTCCAAGCACTGTCGGAGCTGTACTGCTATTCTCATCCTTGATTCCCTTAGTAATTAATAGTCGGCTACAATAAAAAAATAAACCATAGTTACCTAGCCTTATGCAGTAATTCGGTTTCAATGCTGCCCTCTTTAAGGACACCTAGTTCAGATGAATTGCCCATTATCTCAGCAACCCTTCTGCCCAGAGTTGCTGATAGTTCAGTGGTCCTGCTTTTGAGGTTGTCCATTGGGAACAAGAAAAAATGAACCAAAGTTCTCGCGCTCTGCCCTTGTCCAATTAATCATGATGTAATTAGACAATCAGACTATATCTGAAGGCAAATATGTTGTGAGATAATAGCCTAATATGATCAAATTATATTAGACCCTTGATCTAAGTCCCATCTTGGTTAAGGAGTTTTCATCAAGCGCCAATGACAGGGGAAGGTAGTAAGTATGTACATGAGCGGCCCAGCACTTCGGGAATTCTTAATATCAAGTAAATTTGGACATGTAGCAGTGGCGCACCTCCAAGTCTGTGTGCCAGGTAACCTTACCTATGATAAAATTGGCTCAGCACTTTGGGAATTCTTAATATCAAGAAACATTCAAAAAGCAGCAACTCACCTTACTGAACTTGGCCCCATCAAGTGAGAACTGAACTTCATTGGGTAAGTGTTCTGCCAGCAGCGCTGGGTGGTTTTTTTTGCAACCTATATACTAGAGTCCAGTGCTCCCTGCCTCTCTATTTCCACCTAGTGCAGAGGAGGGATCAGCAGTGAGGCAGATCTCATTGTCGTGAAGTCATGGGCACCTGCAGTAAGAAAGGACTTCTTCGAGAGAGAGTTGATGGGGAGGACCAGCGCTCTTTAGATCCAGGCCCTGAATGTTAGTTAGTAGTGTGGCTATGTCTTTGTACCCTTCCATGCTAAGGAAGGGAGCATGTACCTTTTTGAAACGAACTGGTTTAATGGGGAGGACAAGTGCTCTTCAGATCCAGGCCCTGAATGTTAGTTAGTAAGTAGTGTGGCCATGTCTAACTCTCTCGAAGAAGTCCTTTCTTACTGCAGGTGCCCATGACTTCACGACAATGAGATCCGCCTCACTGCTGATCCCTCCTCTGCACTAGGTGGAAATGGAGAGGCAGGGAGCACTGGACTCTAGTATATAGGTTGCAAAAAAAAACCACCCAAGTTCATTTCAAAAAGGTACATGCTCCCTTCCTTAGCATGGAAGGGTACAAAGAAGTAGTGCTTGTCCTCCCCATCAAACCAGTTCATTTCAAAAGGTACATGCTCCCTTCCTTAGCATGCGGAGACCTTAGCTACTTCTTTCCCACATTTGAGGGTTTAGGGATCAGCAGTGAGGCGGATCTCAAGGGAGCATGTACCTTTTTGAAATGAACTGGTTTGATGGGGAGGACCAGCGCTCTTCAGATCCAGGCCCTGAATGTTAGATACTTAATACACCATGTTCTCTTGTGCAGACTGAGATTTCAAGCAATGCGCACTATTCCATTGTAAATTCAACAGATATAACATTTTGACATTATTGCTTTTTAAGGCATGCTCTCATGATCACATGACTTATTTTTGGGGCAAAAGTGAGGAATCACATGACATCAAAATACCCATAAAGGGCAATACATTTGCGCTACAGTGGCTTCATCTAATCTAAAGTGTACAAGGTTGGCAAAACAAACAAAGACAAAAAAACTAAGGTAAGCGGTGCAAGACAAGGATGGAGGGGCCCTCTCCATCCAAGCCTTGCACCCTACAGTACAAAATATAGGTAAAATGTGCAGTAATTTATAATCTGGTGTAGTGCAAGTCAGTATGATATTGAATATTAAATTGGCGCTTACCAGTTTAAAATAACAAAGGAGTGATGAAATGAGAAATGATATAGAAAGCTAGAGAAAGAAATGTGGTTAGCTTTAGAGTATATTTGAAACAAAAAGACTACCTCCACCAACCAGGCAGGCGCAAAGCATGAAAATATTATAGAAAGCTACAGAATAAAATGCAGTTAGTATTGGAGTATACTTGAAGCAAGAAAAGACCAGCTCAACAATAAAAGGCAGGCACAAAAGCTGCAAAAGAGGTCAATAGGCACAAAAGCTGCAAAATATGAGAAACACAAACTGTATCCCCCAGATCCCAAGTAAAGGCGCCAGTCCCTGGGGACATGGACAGCCAAGACTCAGTCCCCCAGATCCCAACATTCAAGGCGCCAGTCCCTGGGGACATGGATAGTCAAGAACATAGCCCCCAGATTCCAAAGTCAAAGGCGCCAGTCCCTGGGGACATGGATAGCCAAGACTCAGTCCCCCAGATCCCAACATTCAAGGCGCCAGTCCCTGGGGACATGGATAGTCAAGAACATATCCCCCAGATCCCAAGTAAAGGCGCCAGTCCCTGGGGACATGGATAGCCAAGACTCAGTCCCCCAGATTTCAACATTCAAGGCGCCAGTCCCTGGGGACATGGATAGCCAAGTAGAAACTAAAATCAAAAGAGTCAGTAAGGAATCAATATCAAAGACTGACCTCAAGGTGCACGCTATCAAGCAAAAGCTTGATAGCACGCCGGCTGTCAAATTATAGGTGTAAATAAACAAAGTTAGTACTACAAACCATAACACTTGAGAATTACTTACTGAGAGCGGCTGAAAATTAATGTGACACTGCCTTTGACTACTTGCAGCTGCAGTCTGCAAGTAGCCAAAGGACAGGCACATACAAAATATATGTAGAGTAAGTAAGAGTTAAGATGTATTGAGAAGGAAGTGGAGTCATGGTTGATGGTTGAGAAAGATGAACCGTGGGAACAATATTGAGAGTTGAAGTATCGTTTGTTAATTTGTTGATGTTTGTACCGGCCATTCCCACGCTCAATCCACTGGTTGTCAGACTTTGCCGGTGGATGTCACGTGTATGTTTGGTTGGTTTTTGGACTTGTTTCTTTTCTCAAAGTCTCTTCTCTCTCTCTTGTCAACGCGTCTCTTTTGCTAATGTGTCTATTTGGTCATGTGAGTGTCTTTTGTTTGTTTTTGTACGATATACTGACTGATTTTGGATATGTCTTTTGATGCGTCTCTTTGCTGGTGTCTCTTTTGTTGACGCGTCTATTTGTGAGTGTCTATGTCTTTTGATGTGTCTCTTTTGTTGACACATCTCCTTCTAGTTCTCTCCCTCTTGTCAACGCGTCTCTTTTTCCAACGCGTCTATTTGGTCATGTGAGTGTCTCTGTCTTTTTATGACTCTCTTTTTATGACACGTCTCCTTCTAGTTCTCTCTCTCTTGTTCAACGCGTCTCTTTTTTCCAACGTGTCTATTTGGTCATGTGAGTGCCTCTGTCTTTTGATGACTCTCTTTTGATGACGCATCTCCTTTTAGTTCTCTCTCTCTTGTCAACGCGTCTCTTTCCAACGCGTCTCTTCAGTCATGTAAGTTTATCTTTTTGTGACTTGCGGTATACTGACTACAGTTTCAGATTCTCTTTTGATAACGCATCTTTTGTCAACGCCCCTCTTCTGCTTCTGCGTCCTTTGGTCAGGTGAGTTTCCTCTCTTTTGTTAACGCGTCTTTTTGGTAACACATCTTTTTGTCAACGCGTCGCTTCTGCATCTGCTTCTTTTTGTCAGGTGAGTTTTTTTGTTTTATTTTTGTCAACTATGCTAATACTAACTACAATCTCAGCTTTGAACGCTCATCCACCATGGCCCGCACCAAGAACACCGCCAAAAAATCCAATGGTGGCTCAGCACCACGCATCCTCCTCACTACTTCAAGAACCGGTAAAACTGGTACTTCTGGAGTAGACGCCCAGAGAAGGAAGGCTTTGACTGCCTCCAAGGTCACAACTGTGGGAGGTGGGGACCTTGAAAAGAGAAATGCTCATCATAAGGTGCATCTATCTTTTCTGTCTTGTATTTGCTGATTCACTATATCTTTCTTATAAGGCTTTGACCGCCGCCAAGGCTACCTTGCCTATTGGAGGTGGGGACTTGGACAAACTAGGTGGTCACAACGAGGTGCGTCTATTTTCTCAGTACTCTAGTTACTAATTTGCTTCATCTTGCTCTTAGTTCTGCATACTCTGCAGGGATGGTGCAGAGCGCTATGAAGACAATACCCTCTTCATGTGCGCTCTGTGCCCCAGAGTGGTGTGCAGACTCTGCCTGCAGCTGCCGCCCGATCTGGAGACCAAAGTCCTGCAAGAGGACGTCTCATTCAGGTGCATTTGTTGCCATATCAAGATGGAACAAGGCGGCACCTACTTTGTGAGTTGTTTTTTATCTTATTATTTTATTTGTTTGCACCTCAGTGATAACAGGGTTTCTATAACGCGAATGGCCTTCCGGCCTTGGATAGGTTCTTGCCCATCAACGGTGCGCTTGAGTTGTCCGAGCTAGCCGAAATATCGGCGGCGCCAGTGATTTTTATACACCTTATTCTCGTCAACTTGTCAGTGGCTGGTAGCCCTTTGGAGTTCGCTCATTCCTTTCTCAAGCCCTACTACACTGGCGACGGCATCGAATATCTTGATGTCTACTATGACATTGGGTCTGATGCCAAGGCCGCCCCCTACCGCAGCAAAGTCTGGAAGATGATTAAAGTTTTGAAGAACTTGTTCATCTGGGAACGTGTAGTCATCGGCATTTCCACTCATACTGATGAGGATTTTGGCAACCCTTTTATTGGGTATGAGGATGGTGATACCAACAACTATCTCAGCACTTTGGTTGATGATGTGAGTTTTTTCTTTCAAAGTTGGCCAATAGTGACGCTTGTTGCAGTTCTTGGAATAATTCTCCAACCCTGGCAAACTATCATCGACCACGCCCAGGAATCTTACCTCTGGATGTTATGTTGCGGCTCCCTTGTCAACAACTCAGACTCATTCCATGGCTTGCAAGAGGCTGTTGCCTGGTAAATTTTTTTGCCTTTATTTGACATGCCTTATATTGATGTTCCCACAGACACAAGTTAACCGGTACCATCGCATTCAATGCTCCTCATTTTCAACCGTCTTTCGCTTTGCACTTGCTCATTTCGTTCACAGAGAGGGTTCTCATTGGACGGTGCCCACTTTATTTAGCATTCAAGGATATGCTCACACAGTCCTGTGACCTTGGTCGACACTCTGACATATTTCTGTTGACTGTTGAGGAGGGTGCCCTCACTTGCTCTAGGTTTGCATGGGCTAATTTGGAGGTCCGTCCTTGGGGCAACCACCTGCCTATCCAATGCAGTGGGTGTGGTTGGGCTAATTCTTGGAGGTCCGCCTATGTCAAAGGCAGCAAGGACAAGACTTACATTTTTGAGTGCAAAAATGACTCTTGCAGTGTAAGCCATACATTCTCTCAGCCACCAGGGTCCACAGTACTGTATTCTGGTAGGAAGAATGGTAGTACTTGGTTGGATATTCCATTAGAGACACAGTTTGCTTGATTTACATGTTTTTCAGTGCTATTTGTCTTACATTGTACTCCGCTTATGTTATTATTGTTCAGAGTTTGAGTAATCATTTGTTTGGTGTCTGAATCTTGAGATTTGGTATACAAGCTAATGTCATTAAATTTATCAGTCGGTCAGATGTATACTTAGGTGATTTTGTACTTGTGATTTGAATCACGTGACCTCAAGATAGTCACTTGATGAGCATGTGACCGTGTTGTTGATCATGTGACATGGTTTGTTGATCTGTTGTCAAGTACTGGTTGCACTTTCTGCAAACTCATACCGGCCTGCATTCTCAAAGATTTTTGCATATCATGGCTGACTGGACACATGTATTCAAGGCTGTTTTGGATGAGCACAAGATAGCCTATGTTTCCGCCAAAGGAAACACAACCAAGAGAGCTACGATCCTCAAAAGTATCAAGGATACTATAGTTCAAACTGATCAGGCGAAGGATCCTTCTACCATGCTTCCAGATAATAATCTTCGTAAAGTGAGTTTCCAGTATGGTTGTGTTTACATTAATCTAATTTTATAGGCTATTCGTACATATTACTTGCGGTTCCTGGAGGATGACGAGGATCGGGATCTTGAGGAAAAAATCATACAGGGAGGTCATAAACTCATGTCTGGTCCAGGCATTGTCACTGTAGACATGGTCAAAGACTGTAAGGATGATAAGCCTCTGGATGCTGCAGCTTTCAAGACCAAATTCTCACCTTTTGATGTCGCTCAGAAATTGTTCAAAGAAGAAATTGGGGAGTATGACAAGAAGCATCGCGACACCTCTGATTTAAGGTCCATGGGGACAAGGACAAAGCTGGTTTGGTCCTGGTACAATGCCCTGTCACCAGCTGTGCTTGAGGAGCTCAGACTTGTGGCAGAAAAGTGGAACCAGGAAGGTCCTCATTCTGATGCAAAGGACAGGTATTTTTTATACTACATTGATATATTTAAGAAAAACTCATGTGTATCTACAGATACCACAGCCGACACCAGAAGAAAATCATGGAGGACTTCATAAAGATGGCAGGAAGAACTATGGGCTTACATATTGTGATTCTTGCAGCTCATGATAGAGGGGAGGGAAAAATGCCTGGAACGACCATGTCAGTGTTATGTTTTACCACTGACATTACTATTGATAAAATATTGGTTTAGCTGGGAATCCTGTCCCAGGAAGGCAAAGAAAACTTTTACTCTGGCTTCCAAAGACAACAAGAAATGGGCAGGAGACTCACAAGATCGACTTGCTGACTGGCTGAATGAAGCCGAGTACGGTAAGTTTTGGATATTGCAATTTATTGAATTGCTAATGATCTAGTAGCAGCTATAGACCCTGAGGATGAATCTGATGAGGACGATGAGAAGGTGCCCAATTTAATGGTGCATGTAGACGATGAGGGCTATCCTTGCCTACCGACAGGCTTTGAATCTCTCATACTCAAGAACCAGCAGAAGGTCGTACGAAAGGTATTTCAAAAGGCTTATGGTGATTCATTTCTATTTTCGAAGTACTGTATTTTTCTGACAGATTACATTCAACAGCGGTCATCTCAAACAACCCTCGGGCTGTGGTCCCCTGGGGTCATATTACCCAAGATCCAGACCATTACCTTGACATGGACTGTATCCCCCGGAATGTCATCATCAAGGATCCTTCTCACCTGCAGAAGGAAGCCATCAGCATGATCTTTTCACTTTGGAAATATCATGCTAACCGTAATGAACCAGTTGTACGGTTTGTTGGGTACAAGGAAGGTGACTTCTATGATTCACTGGCTAAGCAGGGGGATGTAAGTCAAAAATCAAGGAAGAGTCGAAAATATGTTCAAGTATCATCTGATGAGGACAAGGTACTGAAGAAGGCCCCCCAAGCCAATCTTTCTTCTGACAAAGAGGAAGACTTGGCAATACATGCTAGCTACGCTCCATCTCTTTTCAATTCCTGCCCAAAATTCCATATTGGCGGTGACATAGTCAGTCATCTTCAGTCTCTCTCTATCCTCCCATCATATCGTCGTCTCTTGGCCACAGTTCAAAAACTTTCCAAGACAGTGTGTATAATTCACTACTCTGTAATACAACATTAAATTTGACTCTTTTTGAAAGCAAAACTCCAGATCCTAAGGGCAAGGCTAGGAAGCAACATCTGCCTGTCTGGGCATCTTGGACATGGTCTGAGGCATATCTACCCTCAAAATATGCACGATAATTTTCAGTTGTCCTTTCTGGCTTTGGAGGAGCTAGAGAACTATATCATCAAATCTCGTGGTTGGGGTATGATTGTTGTCCTGGGACTTGGACTCCTCCTTTGTGAGTGTAGCTGTGCTCAGGAGTATGAAGCAGATGAGGCTGGAGATGATGTACCTGAATATTCGGATAACTCCATCCTTGGTATCCAGGCAGGGGAGAAGATCGAGGAGGCAATTACTAAAATCCAGGTGAAGGTGGATGCAATGCTGCCAGGTGATAATGAGAAGCAGATGACAGTGAGTGAAGAAGTTCATATGAGGCGTCTGGAGAACAAAAGGCGAGTGAAAGAGAGGAGGGAGGCAGAGCAGGCCAGGGTGCAGAAGAAAAGAAGGTGGATGAGGAGGATCGGGTTGCTGAGGAGAAGAAGGTAGTGGAGGAAAAGAGAGCTGCTGAGGTGTCTTGGATGGCTGAGGAGAAGAGGGTTGCTGAGGAGGCTTCAGATTGTTGAGGCATCTCGGATGGCTGAGGAGAGGGCTACCACCTCAAAGAAGGCAAGCAATACTAACACTGGGGGAAAAGGGAAGGGTAAGCGACCAGCAACAGATGTGATATGATTCAGTCATGAAAAAGGTGAAGACATCTGCTCCTCCAGATCCTCCTCGTCGCTCTACCCAAGAGAGAGTAGCTTCAAAGAAGTATAAGGACTGAGGACACTGTTATTAGCACAATACCATAGAATTCCCTTCTTGCAGTTTGGTGTCATATATATTTCAATTTTCACATCAATTTTGAGTAACATTAATGTTAGCATAGACAATACCCTGTGTATTGTATGGTCAATATAATTGACAAAGGTCCTCTATTGGCCCAGTGGGCCAGCCAGTCTGTATAGTATGCAGGGCATGGGTGGCCGGACTTGATATCATATTGGCCCAGTGGGCCACCCACCCTATGCTGTATGTAGAATATGGGCAGCCGGCCCACTGATATTATATTGGCCCAGTGGGCCACCCACTCTATGCTGTATGTAGCATATGGGCGGCCGACCCACTGATATTATATTGGCCCAGTGGGCCAGCCACCCCATGCTGTATGCAGGACATGGGTGGCCGGCCTACTGATATTATATTGGCCCAGTGGGCCAGCCAGTCTGTACAGGATGCAGGACATGGGCAGCCAGCCACTGATATTAGTGGGCCACCCTTCAGTAAGGAGTGTTGGTAGATTGTATTTTATTTTTTATTCATTCACCATTTATATTATCCCATCTGAGATATATCATTTATTATATGAATGAGGTTGCTTAGACCTACTCCTATATGGAATCTCATTTCATATTAGGGCATTTAGGACAGCCTGCATAAATATCAAGGATGCAAGGTTGGCAAGATCTACTTCAATATGCTGGTTTCACCTATATAAGTTGCATAGAAATATCATTCTCTATATGAGGCATGAGCCTGTAGGGGTCCTACTTCATCAGCAAAAGATATATTTTCTATATGAGGCATTGGCCTGCAAGGGTTAGTGCAGAAATATCATAGATATTATTTTCTGTCTGGGGCATCGGCCTGCACAGGGAGTGCAGAGATATCATTTTCTGTTTGGGGCATCGGCCTGTAAGGGTTCTGCATGACCGGCCTATACAGTAAGTGCATAGACCGGCTGGTGTCCTGTACACCTGGTTTTGCAGGCCAATGTACATGTCCTATCAACAGGTTATGCAGTACTATAAGACTGAAAGGTGTGCGGGAGCGGGTGGCAAGCTCGCACCATGCTATCGCGCAAAAGGATAAGCGGCGCTATTCATTAGCAGTATGGGCACAGGTACTTTACCTCTGAGGCAGAACTCTTAATGCTGCTGTTGCAGACCCGCCAAGGAGGGACTGGGAATGGACCAGGGGAGATGGCTGTGGTTGTTGCCGCTGACGAGAATAACTCATCAGTATGTCTTGTTCAGCAGAAGCTGCTGTTGCAGACCCGCCAAGGAGGGACTTACCCTCGGGTTTGGTTGGGACTGGGAATGGACCAGGGGGAGATGGCTGTGGTTGTTGCTGCTGATGAGAATAACTGGTCAGTACGTCTTGTTCAGCAGAAGCTGCTGTTGCAGACCCGCCAAGGAGGGACTTACAAAGTCGTGATCTTCATAAGGTGGAGGTGGACCACAGAATTATGTGCACTTGAGTTAGTGGTAATTGGACGTGGAGGTCAATCCTAGCTCCAGGACTTTGAGTTGGTGGTATTTGGAGGAGATTAAGACTTACTGTTCTGCCATAGGAAGGGGGATCAAGACGCTATCTCGAACACATGGTGATCGGCGTATTTATTGACATAGAATAAGCGGAAAGCATCATAAGAATGAAAATACTCAATGTCCTTAGGAATGAAATCGGGACCGTAGACAGGGATTAAGTGCGCTGCACGGTAAATGGTGTCAATATGAATAACAGCAAGGTTTGGGGTGCCATCGTCACGAACACTTGGATGGACTATCCACATGCCAGTATCCTTGTCGGCAGAGTCACCGACCTTATCGAACCAATGAACAAGAGCGCATGGATACGTGGCGGCCCAATTATATCTAAAGGAAAAAAAACATCTGACTCTGGCAACTTCAAGCCCTTTCATCCCTTCAAGGTCTGAATTGGTGTTGACAAACACGCAATCATTACGGGGATAGACATTCCGCCAGGATGGACATGCGTGGATCTGTTCTCGTCGCATGCCACCAATGCCACTGGGATCACTTGGCGCATAAAAGTCGCAGCAGCAGAATTAAAGACATGAAGTCTACCATTATATCAAGGGCAGCTAGCAGCAGGGACATCTTCAGGGTTGCAAGGATCATTGCGAAAACAGAAAATGACGGATAAGGCGTCACAGGTATGGTACATTGACTTCGCCTGCTAGTTCTGGTACAGTCTGTGCCCGCATTCGTTCTAAGAAAAACCTTGGTGAGTATTAAAACCGACACATTAGAGCATCACTTACGAGGAGACCTTGCGAGCTTTACAAATGAGAGCAGTACAGTCGGGCCGTCAACATCATCTTCTGCCTGTGGCACAATAACAGGGGCATCTGGATTATCTTCAAGGACGACAGCTGCATATTGAGTATGCAAAATGATAAGATTAGATACAAAAACTTACGCAGAGCGGCCACAGCTCTTGATAATACAGAGCCAACGAGCATCCCACGAGTAGTGAAGTCTACACGAGATGCTGCGAGTTTGTCGAGGCGTTGGTTAGCCAAAAGCATTTGGCCAATGGTGTTATGCTTGCTAGACCACCTCCAAGGTTGTTTCACAGCCTTAATGTGCTTGGATTCCGTGATCAACGAGCACAATCCGTTCGGCGCACCAAACAGTCGGATCATGTCCGCATAGTGGGTCATTGAGTGCTGGCGGGGGTAACGAGAAGTGAGGGACTGTGCCCGTGGTTTCGAAGATCTGGCGGTGTCCTGCATGATTTGGGAATCATGCATGAACATGACTACTAGGTATCCCCCTAAAAGACAAAGTCTGTTAGCTTAGTCCTCAGACTAGTCAACCCATACCTTGGTATCAAACCTTGGTCCAATAGTTTCAGTTTTCCCTCAGCGATTCATGAATCCACCATGTTTTGAAGAAAAGTCATATGTGAGATGGGAATCACATAATGACCTAGTTGATATGAGAAGCAAAATGAAGGCCAACGCATTGCCTTTCATTTGGCTTATTCACTTTGGCTAGAGAAACCCATAGAGAAAAGTTCAAAGCCTAACAAAAACCTATCTAAAAAGCCCGCGTATTGTGTACTATTATTTGTTCCATTATTTCTGAGTTGTTTTCTCTAGTGTTTCTTTACTTTGCTTTTCTATTAGGATGCTCTGACTAATCAGATGCTTCATAAAATTGTACCTACAGGGTATGATGTCATAATGATGTCATAGGACTTCACATACACTCCTGCAGGTATTTTGGTTGAAAGATATGATATCATAGTGATGTCATAATGATGTCATGTTCCATGGAATTTGCTAGAACATTCCAATGACTCATAATGACTCATAGTGACTCATAGTGACTCAGAATGATGTCATTATCCCACCATGAATATTCTGGAATGTTCTTTTGCACCTGCTAGAACATTCTGCTCCAGTTTTTGGAATATTCTTCCCACATTCTGAAGTCATTACATCACCTTTTTACTTACATAATATTCCCACACAAAATGTATATAAGGAGAGCCCATTCTCCCCCAAAAAAATAGATCTCCCACTTGTTGCATTCAAGAACTCCCACTTGAGCAAATTGAACTCTCACCTAAGAAGCTTCAGTCTGAACAAATTGCTGCTTACAAAGCCCATTTCCTTTGTAAGAACTGTCCAGGCAAGTGCAGGGAAAGTGTTTCCCTTGAGATTACGTAAGTTTCTCGCGATAGAAACCCAGTTTTGTGAGACCAGTGTTCTCACCACGTAGTGTTTACTGACCAACACGAGCTTTGGTCAACGTTGTTATTTGTGAGACCAGCATTCTCACCAGGTATTTGTATACTGACCAACACGAGCTTTGGTCATTGTTGTTATTTGTCATTGTTGTTATTTGTCATTGTTTTTATTTTTTATTTGTCATTGTTGTTATTTGTGAGACCAGCGTTCTCACCAGGTATTTGTATATTGACCAACACGAGCTTTGGTCCACGTAGTCACATTTGAGACCAGCTTTCTCAACAGTTAACCGTATATTCAGGAAACCAGTTCAAGTGTCTAGACGGTATATCCTAGACAATCCCATAGTTTCAATCAGAAATAATAAAGCTCCGGCTAAGTTAATCTGACTGATTGGTTTAGCGAGCCTCCCAAGAACTCACACGTTATCTACCACGAAAGAAGAAAAGTCGTAAGACCGTGTTAATCGAGGACTGGCAAGAAGTCTTATCCAGTGTAATTGTGGTGTCATTACATTCTTACACGTTTTCATATAAGACCCTCGGTTATTAAGACAGCGGGTAGTGGTAAAACCGAGCAAGCGCGTCTTTGAGTTGATCCAGAGAGGCTTCAGTAATTACATTGTGTCGTGCGATATAACAAAATTCTAAAAGTGCGTGAAACGCATGCACCATGTCTTGAGGTATGTGGCCTTCAATAGCCGGAATGAAGACCTTCATAAGGGCTTTGGAATCGTTTACCTGTCCATTGTTTAAAGCCGCAGCTGTCAGGAAATCGCCGTAGACCAGCAAATGGAGCCACAACAGCAATTCTGACTCAAGGTTAGAAAACATCAGATTTACGAGTGAGGTAGTATACCTTCGATCTATGTCGCTCATGATCTCGTCTCCTCGTTTGGTCCCATGCTCAAGTCTAAGGTACTTTACTACCCATTCCACCAAATGATCCTTGAAGGCGCCTTTGACTAGCTGGTGGAGGAGATCAAATGATATTAATTGATGGATGTCGGCTCGGGGGAAGTCATTTGTGAATGGCTGTACAAAATAGATTAGTGTATAGTTTGAGAGCGGGTGGATCACTCACGATGAGAACACTTATGATACCATATTCATGCCACAATGTATCTGGGTGGATATTTTCATGTATGAGGACATCTGTATGCTCTCGACAGCGTGAGAGACCACCACCATCGAGATCTCCCCGACTTGCAAGGCATCTACAAACATTGTCAGTAAATGTTGATGCTGAGTGCGACTTAAAACACACTTTGGGCACCAATTTTTAACAGTACAGGACAGCACCAGTTGCTCCTCGTAGTCGGCTATGTAGGGTCCAAGGCCAAATATAACACGTCGAAAGTGACCGTCTGCACAACACAGGACTTCATACTCAGTCATCACAGGCTTCAGGGTAGATAGAATTGCGGATAGTGAACAGTGAAAAAGCTGCCGGCGAAATACACGAAACAAATCGTCATGAGCATGTTGCCTATCAGCTGCGACATAGCTCAGATAAAGAATTAAATTTTAAATTTTAATACACGTACTTTTAGGTATAGCCAGGAAACCAATGATGACAAGAGTGTCGTGATGAGCGCATCGCACATTGTTGTGCACATTGCCGATCGAGGCATACAGGGGGTAATATTCATTATTACCTGTGCCCACAGAAACGGTGGTCTTGTCGCTACCAAGAATTATCGGAACGAACATCGATCCATGTGTGTTTGGATCCTTCGATATCTCGTCCTAGTGGATGTCAGGATACCCCAAGTCACAAGGAATACATGAAATACGTACAGCTTGTTGCCATGCCCAGTCCGCAGACATAAAGTCTCTCCATCGGTGTGTATCGTCCAATGCATCATACTCCCGAAATGGCACATAGTCAATCTCACCCTTGTAGGTAGGGTTCACTAACATGTTATGCGCCATCATGCGGGGGTCTCTGTACCAGACCTCATATTCTCTGTCCATCCATGGAGGAGCATCATGTTCAGGGTGTTCCCCTGTGTATTGAACCGAGAGACATTGCCAAGTGACATTGCCAAGTTGTGTGGCATCGATGACCTTGTGCAAATCCTTGTGATCCGCGAATGGAGGGTGGTCGTTGTGTTTTAACAGCTGCGCAGCCATTAAGTCGAGTAATAAGTCTGTAGCTTTGTTAGACATATGACTTTGTTTGAAAACAAACTCTGCCATTGCAAATTCGATATCATTACAATACGGGCTCCAGTCGTGAGGAGACTTTGGTGGGACAGGAGTTGGTGGTGTGCCAGGGGGCAGAAATGCGCCGTCAGCTGTGCATGGTCGTCCTAAGAGCGTGTCAGAATCAGAACACGTGAAAAGCGCAGATTGAAAGGTACTTACCATTGAGGAGCGAGTGATACATACAATAGTAACGCTCACTCGCATCAGTGAATTCTGAGTCTGGATCCTCATCATCAGCCATTGGACCAGGTGGTGATCGGGGAGGCAAGAAATCAGGAGGGGGTGGTGAGAAATCAGGAGGGGGTGGCGAGAAATCAGGAGGGGGTGGCAGGAAATCAGGAGGAGGCGACTGAGGTGGAGATGGAAGCTGTTGCGGTTGGGGAAGATCCAGAGTAGGTGCAATGGGATGGGACACGTGCATGTGTTGAGTGCGGCCAGAGATTTTCGAAACCAGCACATACAGCCTGGAGATAGCATGGAAACTGAAGGGCAACGGTGAGTAGGCCGGTTTTCTGCGCATCATATGAGTAGTGTTGATGCAATGTATGGACCTAGTGAAGGTTTAAAACTGGCCGCTAATATTGAAGAAAAAATTACCCTTTCAAAGGTGCCGTTGGAACAAAAATGTGCACTACCCCAGAAAGGGTTTGTTAAAATGGACATTTATGTCATCACACCACCAGAAAAGTTCTGGTGAACATTGATGATGGTCACCCCACCACAGGAAAGGTTCTGGTGAACATTCCCTAGGCTATTAGATGTCATTATATCACCGGAAAGGTTCTGGTAAACATTGATACTCACCGTACTTAAGGTATTTCAATCCGGGACATGTCATTTTGTTGAGCACATTGTGCCGAAAAGCGCTGGCGAATATTGATGCTCTGGATGTTGCAATCGACCCTCAATACGTTAAGAAATATTATTCAGAGTCAGCTTTGGCTACAAATTTTAGAGTGACGAAACTCACCTTCAACTTGGTAACACACTGCCTTCAATTTTCGTCAGCCTACAAAACCGTCTATCGATAGAATGTCTCAACCTGACGCAGTTACAATGCACATGGGGACTCGACCTAAGAACGCAACTCAGCATCCCGGGCGCATTTTAATCAATAGTTGTGGAAAGAAGCATACCACTGCTGAAAGGCCGCTGACGACCAACGTGAAAGGGAGGCAAAGGAGGCAAGTGAAAAAGCTGTACAAGAAAGTTATTAGTGTATTGCTACTTTGCAGGCACAGATGCAGGCTGACCAAGATGCTATGCATGTTGACGCACCTAAGCCTAAGTGTCCTCATGCACGCCCAGTGGGGAAAGCTGCAAAGGACTTGAAGACCTCCAACTCGACTATGGATGATAGGCAGGCAGGAGCAAAAATTGTCGCCGATAAGCCTCTTGTCACCAAAGGCAGGGGTCGCGGGGGTGGAGCTAAAAAGTTAGCAGCTGATGCTAGCATCGAAAATCCTGCAAGTGAGGATGAGGATGGGGAGCCAGTCCAAACCAAAAAGAAGAAGAAACTGGCGGTGAGAGAAGCAATTCAAGCAGTATTAAACGCTGGCATCGTTATCGACTCAACAAAGGCACGTGATGGAGAAGTTCAGAAGACGTCTGATGTGTGAGTTTATCTATCAGTAACTATGATGATGCTTCTTTTGACTGAAACTACTCTTTTTTTTCTTGATATCACGACATACAATTCTGATGCTACAAGTTCCCAAAAATTTGCACTTGCTGGACGTGTCCCAGGGTGGCTGTCGAATCTTCCTGCGACTGCCTCAAAGCCAGCCGCGTCGTTGAGGGGGAATCCTTCTACATCTTCCATTCATCCACGGACCAGTTACTCTAAGCTCACAAAGGGGAGCACCATCAGCAGCAATGTTCCGCCCCCACCCACACCCATCAGTACCCTCAAATGCTGGAGGCTTTACAGAGTTCAATATGTATGCGTCTGATGAGGACGAGGATGACGAGGAGCTCGCAAAACCTCTTTCTCATATTACAAGCAACAAGGCTTACGCGGTGAGTCTGATTCTATCTATATTTAAATTCTACGTAGTTTTAACCACAGCTGCAGGGTATTGTGATTGTTCCCAAAGCTCTTGACGGTGTAGTCCCTTCAGATGTTACCTGTCACAGTGCAACCGAACAGCCTGATCCGATTGAAGATGTGGATGACATCGATGTCTTCGCAGACATCCGCGGCCACTTAATAGATTCTGACGGCACCAACCCTGCTACACAACTCGATTTCCTAAGGGAGTATAAGGCCGATGATGATGCCAATCACGAGCTACAGTCCTTGGACCTTGATTCTGACCTTGAACCTCCTCCCCCTCGCCCAAAAACCTAGGTCCCGCTCCACCCCCCCAATGGATTTTGACTCCCTGGCGAGTCAGAAGCGGAAGCTGTCACCCTCCTCTGGACTATGATGACATAATGGAGCTGTCATCCAAGGCCGAAAGTGTGCAGGGTGCCAATGAAGATGTGAAGACCAAACCTGTTGACCCAGTGTTCATGCGCCGGGTGACCTCTACAGTAAGTTTCAGTGTCTCATACTACATTTTACTGATCACAAGATATTAGACTAATGTGCTGCCACGCTCAAAGCCCCTCCAGCAAAGCGGCTGAAGTCTGAGTCCTCCGCTCCCTCCAAGCCAATTGTACGCTCTGCATACAGGAAGAAGCATCTTCCTAAGGGTTGTCAGGTGGGAACAAGTGGGCACAACAGTTCATCCCTACCATCATTCACTGCATCGGCGATTTAGATGAAGTATGGACCCTTGCAGATGACGTTGTCTGTCCTATCTTGCAGTCAGTCTGGAATGCAGTCTACAAAGGCAAGATTCCACACACAGTTGAAGCTGATGGGCCTGTCCTTGCCATTGTACGTTTTTTTTTCAAACATGATTTAAATCTGTCATTTCTTTTTTTAGACCCTCCAGTGGTTGTCAGAGTGGTGCAATACCTTTAGCAATGTGGCTCTCGCCATACTCGCAAACTTCATGACTTTGCAAGATGATCTCAAGACTGATGAGGACCGCAAAGATTTTGCATCGGCCTTACTCGAAAAGTTCAGCTTCTTATTTGGGGGACATCGCGCAGGACGGAGAGGTGTCCAACCCATTCCAGTCTGACCTCATTGTACAGGTCCTCGTGCAGCACAAGTGTGCCATGTCCGGTGCTGTCAACCTGCCAGGAACGAACGATACAGTGCCGGGGCACTCGAGGGGCGCTCTTAGTCTTGCCACGGCAGCAGCACATGTTTTCTACCCTCTCATACAGCTGACTTAACTTACCCTGTATTTCAGATGGAACTTGCCATAAGGCTTTTCTTCAATGGACACATGCTCCTAGGAGACATCGACACCTCTGGCAATGGTCGAGGCAACAAGACCCCACTCGACGTCAATCCGCCCACAGGCAACCAGAGCAGCGTCCCCTTGGCATTTTCAGAAGCCAATTGGGGTGCGCACACGAGGGCTTACATGGCATCTATCACACGCTTGCCAGACTCGGTCCTTATCCGAAACTCCGAGCTTGCACAGAGCCTCGCCATGAAGAGGCGTGGCGGCGCGTGGATGGATGTGGACGAAGAATCTGGGGATGAGCGAGCGCTCATTTTCTAGAGGTAATGTCCTTCACTCTTGTAGTTTATTTTGCAACTGACTATGAGCTTCGACGCTACTAGTACCTTCAAGGTTATTCATGCTATGTTCCCTTGTCTTTTTTACATGCTGTCTCATTGCCCGCCTCCATTTGCTTTGTCGCGCTCATTATTAATCTACTTGCTAGTACTTATTTTTCTCCTTGTTTAACCTTTTATCTACTTAATCCTCTTGTCCGGTTGAAATGCAATTGTTTTTTCCTCGTAACAAGTGTGAACAAGTGTATATAGTGTGAACAAGCTAAAAATAAGTGCGACATAAGGGGATTGTAATGTAGCTCATTCTAAAAACAAGTGCAAAAGTGCAGGACAAATGAAAAAAAGTGCAAAAATGCTCAAATCAAGAGGAAGGGATCTTCTTGGCAGCTTGTTGCTCCTTGTGACAAGGAGGTGTTCTGGTTCTTGTCCGCTCTTGGGTCGGAAAAATAAGAGCTTAAAAGGAAATTAAGCAATTCGTGAATTTACTGATGAAGTCCTCGAACGGTGGACCGGACCAACGATTCGGTTCCCCCTATTTCCCGAACTTTGAACCGGACTTCGGTCAGGTTCGAAACAGTTCGGGTTCGGACCGTGGTTCAGGACCGGACGTGGCACTGGCCATCACTATAATCACCATTCAGCACTCAGCGACCATGTTGCCAATTGCCGTGTACAAGGCTCAGGGCTGCATGGCATACTAATTCCATTCTTCCCCCTACATAATCCATAATCGGGTCCCCTGGGGGATTCGCTGCGGTGTTTGGTGATAGGGTGAAAGGTAAGTGAGGAGGCCTCGTGATGGGTGCATCTTGAGAAGCCTGAGTTTGGTCATAAATTGAACATGTCCGCAGATAGGACTATCATCTGATCCTTCAAGCCCCACTACAACCGTCCCACTTTTGAGAAGTCCGAGTTGGGGTCATAAATTGAACATGTCCGCAGATAGGACTATTATCTGATCCTTCAAGCCCCACTACAACCGTCCCACTCTTGAGTCGATCGTCCTTTCCCAGTATTAGACCATGTTAACTCTCACCAACATCACTGGGCTCCACCTATGCCTTGCTTGTGTCGGAGTGTATCTGCTGAAGCAGGGTGTTCAACAAGAAGAACCCTGCCGCATATCCCCTGGTCCTCCGGGGTGGCCTCTTATCGGGGAATGTCCTGGACATGCCTCACATCAAGCCCTGGCTCACCTTCACGGAGTGGGGCAAGAAGTATGGTGAGTGCCTCTCGTTTGCCACAATCTTGCATTTCGAGGTCTTACTATCCGCAGGTGATATTTTGCATATTGAGGTACTGGGTCAACACATCGTGGTGCTGAACTCCCTCAAGACTGCGATGGACATGCTGGACAACAAGAGCACTATATACTCTGATCGTCCAATTCTTCCTGTTGGTGGCGAACTTATTGGCTGGAAAAACGTTACGGCTCTCCTCCCTTACGGCGACCGTTTACGCAGGCACCGCAAAAATTTCCACAACGTCATTGGCACGCGCGCCGCTATGGGCATATACAACCAGTCGAGGAGGTCGAGACTCGCCGATTCATCAAGCGTGTGTTCAAAAAAACCCGATCAACTAGAGGCACATGTTCGACAGTATGTATTATTTATCTTTGCATTGACACAATTTTGATTTTCATAGCACCGCTGGCGCTGTCATTCTGCGCATCTCTCATGGTTATGAAGTGAAAGAGAACGACGATCCCTTCGTTGACGTAGCAGACCGCGCTCTTGACCAGTGGTCGCGTGTCACCCGCTCCTGGCGCCTTCGTGGCTGATGTCGTGCCATTCTGTAAGCCATAGCATTCAGACGTTTACTTTCAATGGTCTCACCGTTTTTAGTGGTCAAGGCCCCTGAATGGTTCCCTGGTGCTGGCTTCAAACGTGTGGCCCGCGAGTGGCACGACACCCTTGAAGAGATGGTCTCTGCACCGTATAAGTTCGTCGTAGATCAGATGGTGGCCATCATTTATAGTTTTGCGAGTATGCGTTGAAGCCCGACTTTTACAGGCTGCTGGCATTGCCCCGGAGTCTTTCACAATCGAATCTGTTGGGAGACAGTCCTTTGTCAGCGGAAGACGAGCACGTTGTCAAATGGTGTGCTGCAACTCTATACGCCGGTGCTTCCGACACAGTTGGTCCCTCCATATTTCTAATAACCATCTTCTGAGAGTACTACACTTCTTTCCTCAGACTGTTTCTACCATCAACTCGTTCTTCTTAGCTATGACGCTATTCCCTGATGTGCAGAAGAAGGCTCAGGCTGAAATAGATGCTGTTGTCGGCCCTGATCGTCTTCCCTCCATCACCGACCAGGACTCTCTCCCTTACATTGGAGCGCTTGCCAAAGAAGCCCTACGGTGGCATGCTGTTACCCCTACCGGTCCGTGCATCTCGTTTAATGAATATTTTTATTGCCGAACGGTATCTCAATGTCAGGTTTTCCCCACTGTGTCTCTGAGGACGACATCCACGACGGGTACTACATCCCAAAAGGTTCCGTGGTCATACCTAACATCTGGTTGGTACCCTCTTCTCTCCATATTCAATGTTTCAACAGATTATAATGATATAATGACAGGTTCATGCTCCATGACCCGGAGATATATGTTAACCCTTGGCAATTCAACCCTGAACGCTTCTTAGCCAATGACGGAAAGAAGCCTGAGACAGAACCCCGCACGATCTGTTTCGGCTTTGGAAGGCGGTAAGTATGTCGCAAGTTTTTGTGCCATGCTAACTTTCTGCTCTGCAGTATTTGTCCAGGTATTCCCAACTCCCAAACTGTATTCTGACGTTCAGTTGCTTTTCGTTCACAGGTATCCACCTCGTTGAAGCCTCTGTCTGGTTATCCATCGCGATGTCACTGGCCGTGTTCGATATCTCGAAGACTGTCGAGAATGGTATTGAGATCATCCCTGACGTTGATCAATCATCAGGCACGATCAGGTAGGTTACATATCTGATCACGTTCGGCGCTAATCCGATAGATACCCTTCTAGCCACCCAAAACCCTTCAAGTGTTCCATTAAGCCTCGCTCTTCGAAAGCCGTCGCGCTCATTGAACAGGACGCTAACTACTAAGCGTGCGAAAGTGAAATACAAAGCTGAGGAAAGTACTTGCTGTGAGTGGCAATTTTCGCATCTGACATCCAGGTCTGTCACATTTTGAACTTTGCATTACAGTGCGGGATCAAATGCGGTGTCACATCGCGATACAATTGTACATGTTTTCTTGTTCTATGTTGTTGGCAATGTATGCTCTGGTATTGAAGACGCGTGTGGTCTTCCTGATAATCCGCCTGTCTGGCACCTCCCGCCCCATGATCAAGAGCGCACGCAAGTATTTTGACTCTATTCATTGACCGACACCTTAGGCTTTACGTACGACAGACTTATCGTGCTGAGTGCACCATCTTATTAGCATCCCGAAGTTCATCTCTCAATCATTAAAACTGCGGAACCGCAGGCTTCGTTAATGTCAGAACTCTCTAGTGCCATCGATTTTTTATCTCCGTCGTCGCTTGTTTGAGCGCGTAGGATGGGAAACTTTGGTCTGACGCTCCTGGACTCTACCATGACCCACATCTCTGCCCCTTCATCTTTCAATCCAATCCAACTTAATTCTTTCCTCCGAAGCTGGTTTCGAGATGTAGACAGCTGGAAACTGGGCAACAGCGAAACTTTCTCTCTGATTTAGTACAAACCCGTTCTAAATCTAATGCATAATGCGTCGCCAACCACTGACCATGGAACTCCAAGTTGGTCCTGGTAATGTGGCACAGCCGACCTGCTTTAGTTCTTATTTGCCTACTCCGCGATTGTTAGGCTTAGTGCCATCTTATTATCAATGCTGACCTTGTTCTACCGTGTCTTCCATCATCAAGTGTAGCCTGTGATAACATACAGTGAGTGATACCTTGGCAACTTCACATATATGATACACTCGATCCATTGTAACTGGGGCTTGCAAAAGGAATGGATGTCGTAACCAAGTGGTGAAATAATGCAGTGGTTGAGCTCACTGTTGCCCGCAGTGAGGATGAAGGCAATTATAATGTGCGGCATCGAGACTGACAAATCTGCTGTGACAGGTATACAACGATAAATACTGCAGAAAATGTATATATGCGGCATGACAAATGATAAACTGTCGCCAAACATCCACCATACGATACCATGCGAATGCGATATGCCCATTTGCCCGTCATGCACCATAAATCATCTTCAAAGTTTTGTCTGCAGGTGATATCTCGCACGTCGAGGTTCTGGGTCAGCACACCATTGTGTTGAACCCTGTCAAGACTGTGATGGGCATGCTCGATAACAAGAGCACGGTGTGCTGACCCGTCCTGTTCTTCCTATAGCTGGCGAACTTGCTGGCTGGAAGGACGCTTTACCTCTTCTCTCTTACGGTGACCGTTTCGTCGGTAGCGCAAGGAGAGGTTCCTCTACTGCGCCATTGACAGCCGCGCGGCATTGGACATCTACAAGCCGATTGAGGAGATTGAAACTCACCGATTCCTCAAGCGTTGTACTTGCAACACCCGACCAATTATAGTAAACACATTCGACAGTATGTAGTAATTCATTCTTGCATTGACATGATTTTGAATTTTTACAGCACCGCTGACCGGCTATCATTCGCGCATCTCTTTATGGTCACGAAGTGAAGAGAGCAGTGATCCCTTCATCAATATTGCTGAACGAGCTCTCGATCAATTCTCGCAGTCCACCCTCCCGGTGCCTTCATGGTTGATTCTCTTCCATTCTGTAAGCTATAGCATTGAAATGATTCGGTTCCAATGACCTTATCGTTTTAGTGGACAAGGTCCCCGAATGGCTTCCTGGAGCTGGCTTCAAGCGCCCTAGCGCGTGAATTGCACGAAATGGTCCAAAAGATGGTTTCTGCGCCCTACAAGTTCGCCATAGATGAGATAGTGAATAAAATTCATAGTTTCCAGTCATTAGTTGAAGTTTAAATTTTATAGGCTGCTGGCGATCCCCCGATGTCATGCACCTCGGCTATGTTGGAAGGCCATACTCTACGGTCGGGACGGTCTTTAATTTCCGCTACACCGCTTCATTCTAGGATCGCGTATGATTTCGGGACTCCCCCAGTTTTGACCCTATAGCCCAGACATCTGAACTAGATCTGAGCTGGTGCATATCACAAAGCTCACTCGTTCCTTGTCGGACTTTCCCGGTTGACACAACTGTGTACTGCGATCTATCATATTGGTTTCCTATCATTCATTCCACGCAAAAAACTGTCTCTTTGCAATCATCATGATTAAGGTAATACCCTCCCTACCATCTTACTATGACTATGTTGATGCCCACCCTAAGATGTCAGTCTCATTGCATGATGAGGGACGTTGTGACGTGCAGCAACCCTACCACCCGTGCGCTGCTCACTTCCGCTCTTGTTGTTTTCCTAGGCCAGCAGTAACGCTCTGGTTCTTAATGTACACACTAATTTCCGTCGTATGCGGCGAACAAGGCTTAGGGACTCTTACAAAAGCACCCCCAAAACCACATTGACGGTCCCAACCATAATCATAGACAGCCGATGTTAACGCAACCATTTTGTCACTTGTGTACCGGTTACCTCCGATCCCTCTGCCTGCCTGGGCTCATTACATTTATAGGCTACAGGAACATTCTGGTGCCTGGTGTGCACTATGTACCGCCAATGCCAATCAAATAGGGCGGAACAAAGCACTGCCAGGGGTACAAGCGACGTGCGCGCCGAAGAAAAATACTATCGAATTGACTTTCCCAAACAAGGTTGGTGTGTTTCATTGGTACATTGTACTGGTTCTAATATTGTGATACGTATTTCATGTGTGCTGCGCAGTATAGTACTGGTATCAGGCTTACTGTATTCGTCAATCGAATTTGCACCCGTCTCCATGCGAACTGCAGTAGGTATGTGGAGGTGAGTTAATGTTTGTCATGTCTTATGTACTGTTGTCTTTATTTACACCAGCATATCTACAGGACAATATTCGACGTGGAGTCCGGGATAATGTCTGAGACATCTATAGATGCTAAGCCACCTCTCAAGTATCGCAACGGAGTCGGGCGTGCCTGAATGAGACCAGCGGAGGGATATCACCCCACAAAAAAATTGATGCCGTCACCGAAGGGAGTCCCATGAGTCTCGTAATTATTAGGGAGGTATGAGGTAAGATCGTCATCTTCGCCTCCTTGGTATGAGTAACGAAGAAATAACTCGAGAAGTGCTCTATGAGAGATTTTTTTCAAGTCATTGTTCATTGTCCGCTGGGGCGTTAGCCCTATGGTAGACAGTACATGCTGCCTCTATGAGAGATAAATTTTCTGTGGTGCCCACCGACGCGCCTGTTGTGCTGGTGGTACTTGACGCATTCAGAGGTGCAGAAGGACTTACAGAGTGGCTTGGAATCCGAACGTTGCAGGGCCTGAGTGCATGAAGAAGAAACAGTGAATCGAAGGTAGAGACCAATAGTCTCCTGCGGCAGACTGGGGTAATCGTTCGAAACCAGAACCATGACAATTTTGAAGCTAGTCTTACATGGTTCTTAAAGGACATATTCGAATAATCGAGCAATGATTGATGTTTCTGAGAGTAGATGGTAGCACGAGAGAGGATGCAATGCAATGCTTCAGTTTCAAGTAACACTGCAACGAAACCAACGGGACGATAGAGAATCTAAGATCAACAACTTGTAGCACTACACACCGATATTCAAATCTTGAACTCTCGTAGAAAGCTTTGACGACGTGTTTTGCGACAGCGTCATCGACTGCCCACAGCGTGACATTGACGCTCTTAAACCCTGAAAACTACAGACCAACTGCAAGATGAATGACCTCGTCGGGCATATCCTTATCATCAGCGGCAGTGGTAAGAATGCGAACTCAGTTTGCGGAGCATTGTTCTCCATGATGTCAAGCAGTATCAGAGGTTTGCCTCTCATGGCAAAACGTGAATTGTAAGGCTGGTCACGGTCCTTTTTGCCATGACAAGCGAGATGTACCCAGTTGTTGCATCGCAAAGCTTTGAGTGAACCTGCCTGTGTGGCTTTCATCGCCAGAAAGATTAGTAAACCTGACATTGAAGGGAACAAATTTATGAACAAGCTCAAGCCCGCTGTCAATAGTGGCGAGCACCGTACCCTGCCCTGCGCCCCGGTTGACTTTGTCCGATGGCTACGAAAGTTGGAACCACGCACGTCATCGTCTGTCTAGCTCTGATCAGAGCCGAAAGTGTTGACGTGTAAAAGCAGATGTAGACATCCTCCGGGCAAGCCTCCGGGCTAGAGCTAGTAGCGGCACAGATAGGCCGTCTGCAGCTGCACATAGCCAAGGCATCTTTCTGGATGCGGTGAAGGTGAAGCCTCCAATAATTGTTGGCAAAGATGAATGGCCTCCTTAATATCTTCCTCCATCCGAGTTTGCGTGAAACAAGAGTAGAGCGCCGAGCTCAAATTGCGAGTTCTACGACGCTCTGGCTCCAGTAACAGAAGGCATTCGCGGAGTAGCTTGATGGCCTCGTCAAGATCATCGCTGACATGCACGCTATGATATCTAATGATGAGCGCGCAGGCAAGGTCATTGAGTGTGGTGTCCCCGTCGTGGATGTCGAGGTCGGCGCAACATCAGCGTGTCGTGATGGAGGTTGATTGCCTGGCTGGTATCATTGATATCACTAATATCACTGCATGGTTGGGAACGTTAGAGGATGGCGCTTCCTAGGCTGCTCAATGCTCTATCACGAGATCCCACTTCTTCGTACAAAGAGATGGCCTCACCAATGTCATGAGATTTGCCTTCGCAATTGAAGCGGCAGTTGCCGAGTGCCACGGTCAAGTATCTTAAGTAGGTACCACGATCAGAATGTCCCTCAGGGCACAGAGAACGGCGTCACGATGGAGGGTATGCTCTCGTCTATATCATCGACGCTGCCGCATTGTACGAAGCCTACTTTGCAAGCTTGGTGAGGGCATCGAGATGGCATTAACGACCCCAGTTGGAACTTGGCAGAGCTTGAGCACGATTCGTCGAAGGTGGATGCCTTTATCGGACACATCTATTGGTAGATTGTTACATTGGCCGATAACATAACCGACACAATTGTGATGCTTCCGAAGATATGTGCCCTCGAAACAGAGAGGTAGCAGCTCATAGTAGAGTTGGGCAGTTTCGCCGATGCTGGCAGCAGTAGTTGGGGGCCTAGTCAGTGCTTCGGTGAGATAATAGACATGATCGGGGGTGACGCTGCGGGCGTAATACAAGGGCGTCACGGAATAGAGATATAGTAGAGTCGATGTCTTGGAGATCCTTGCCAATGTACCCTTGAAGGCGGCCCACGCGAGATTGGTGAGAGCGGCCCGCGCGGTGAGGATGATTAACCGGACGCTGGTCCAGAACGAACTGAATAGCTCCAAAGCATTAGTCAGTTCAGCGACATTCTTGTTTGGCAAATCGTATGTGGCCTGTGCAAGTGCGATGAGCAAATTTATTTTCATAAATAGACTGCAGATTGCATTTTAGTTAGTAGAGACCGAAGGCCTGTGGGCTAGTGTTACTTACATGAAGCAATGGATTTCCACGAGTCTGCACAACAGCGACCTTCAGTGTCAGAGAAGGCCGGGCATCACGAATGGGTGAAAAGTACAGATCTATAACTCCAAGTTAATAGACATGCACGAATCAAAGCAAACTACTCACCAAAGGGCTCGCCTCCATGCTCGAGTAGCTCATGCCACAACATTTCAAGTTGGCCGATGACTTCTCCGCGTCCCAGAGTCGAAGGAAGCCGTGATCTTCAATATAATTTGGGTGCACATGGAGATGTGCAGATGGACAATGAATACTGGATACGTGGAAAGTCTTTACAAGGTCACAGTATCGTCCTACGTTACAGAACTATCGGATGATAGGACTCAGACAGCTGATTTTCAGTATCTCTTCGAGTCGATAATGATGGACACGTAAATGCCTGTGCTGTGCAGGTATGCGAAAGGAGAGAACTTCGAGATTTTTTTCCGCTCATGATTGTGGGGTAGAGTGTGAAGATAACGAAATGAAGGTCAAGATCGTATGGATGTGCCCACCTTCAAGCCTGAAATGTTGGTTGCAGTGCGTCATGGCGTATCGAAGAAAATCTCAAAAAGAATCAAGGATGGGCTGTAGCCTGTTTGCAGTGGCGTAAAATGAATGGTATTTGGCAAGACGGGAGTATAGTATAGACCGGAGTTCAGTTGAAAGGGGAGGCCTGTCTAAAGAGGTGGGCCGTGTGGGGCCATCATGATGAGTTACAAAGGCAGACCAAGGTTGGAGTGGACATGGGGAAGTCTCAGACTCGGAGTCCCCTTGTCCCGGCCACTCTCATCAAGCAAGTTGTTAGCTGGCTGTATCACGCATATTATTGATTTGGCATACTCATGATAAGGTGAGATGTAGAATCCAGTGTACGTAGCGTAAACAATACGCTGAAAAAGACCGTCAAGTACACAGAAAAATATGTCCATTCTATCCAATTGAACTGATGCAGTGACGGTGGAGGATGGTCGAAAGTACTAGTGTCGTGGAAACAAAGGCAGGGTACCGCTTGCAAGACTCCAAGTCATTTTGCAGGTCGAATACAAGATGAGTTAGCTAAAATTAATGCACCGGAGGATACGACGAGTGACAAATGCCTTCAACAGCTTGCAATTGTGACGAAGAACAAGAGTGAACCTGAAAGACGTGGGAAATTATTCGGATTGGACGTCTGCCACAACGATACCTGGCACCATTGTTTGTCCTGGGTCATTTTTGGATTCGTCAAATTGGGCACGGCTGCCAATATGCTGCGGCTTGGACAGTTTTTCTGGCGTTGAACATCGGGAACTTCGGTTGTGCAAGTGAGTATTAAGTAAGTCCTACTATAGCGGGGGTACTGACAAACTTGCCGTGGCTTCCGAGACAGTCACGGTTGCAAGTACTCTTACAAGTAATTAAAGACTGGTTCAAATTGACTTGTTGAATTGAACCGGGCGATCCACACATACTAATACTATGGATCTTTCGTTGAGGTGTACCGACCGCCCACGGCTCGCCGCAAACAGGTCTGACTGAGATCTGCCTAGCCCGACGGTTGCAGAGCGTGGCCTGTTTTTGGCAACGAATTTCTCTTTCCCGGCCCGCTCGGGTCTCGACTAAGTCTACTAACTAATAGTTGAAGCAGTACTGTCCGACATAGGGTATTTTACCCCAACGGACAGAAATCGGAACCAAATAAAAAATATAGTTGAAGCACAACTTGCTTAGCGTTCATCCAGTGCGTCCAAATCTGATCATAAACATACACATTATCCGATCATGCTCTATGATATTCACACTGGCAGGGCCAAATGCCCGTATGGTTCTCTCCGCCGTCATATCACTACAAAGACCTTGGTCAAGTGTACGCGTCCTTCTCAACGGGAACATCTGAAAAGCGAGTTGATGCTAGGACATCATCCTCCTCATCTCAAGGGTGGCCCAGGCCTCGTTAATCCCATCATTTGCATCCTTGGTGTTGATGTACGTCTATATAAACAGGGGGACCGATCACGGATTCCTGGGCAAGCATATTTGCTACCTTGGACTTGAATTCAAATGAAGGATAAAAATATCCTGGTCCCCCGTGTCATTATAGTACTATACCTGCGGAAAAGCTGCATATGCGTCTCCATATAACGCCTCCCTAGCATATCCCTGAGTACAGCCGCTCATCTATGTCATCTTCAGGTACGAAAGGGCAGTATAAACTCTTCAGTCCAGGGTATTTCAGATCCACTGTCTTCGGGCCGATTTCCCCAAATTAATTTGTACCTGGTGGTGACTTATTGATTTGCCGCATTGCCTTGACGTGCGGGCTGATCTAACATCACATGAACGGAACGAATTGCGGGGATCATGAACGGGGATCTTCTCTGGAACAAAACATTGTTCATAGGATCATATATGTGAGTAGATCTTGACAAAAAGCTTGAAACTGGGCATTGATTTTTTATTTTTTTTAATTCCAATTTGTGTTCATTGAGGATAATACCCTATGTAGGACAGTACTTTCTAATCTATGGGACCCCCGGTGTCCCTTCTATCTCTGAAGTCGCGAATGCCCTGATGTGAGGCGTACCCCCATCAGTCCGTCGTGGCATTGATTTTGATATACGAGTATCGAGTTGTGCTATTTCGCTCTGAAACCCCGCTCCCTTCAAGGTTATACTGGGAGTGTCCCTTGAGTGAGCGCATCCCGGCTGTCTTTGAATGTCCCTGCAAGCTTCGTTTCGAGGGGTTCATAGGATCGGGTACGATTCGGCAACAATGGTTGCGGCCTCCTCAGTATCGACCCTGAGCGCAGATACCTCGGCCCAGACATCTGAACTAGATCTGAACTTGCAAGCTGGTACACATCACGGAGTCACTGGTGCCTTGTCGGACTCGAGTGATTTCCCGGTTGACACGACTATAGTGGTACGATCTATCGCGGTCATGCATCTTCCATTCCGCGTTAGCAACTATTCGCGCACTATGATGATGATCAAGGTGATACCCTCCCTGTCATCTTACTGCGACCATGTGGAGCTGATGCTGACGGCTCCCACGTTCGAACAGATGCCAGACTCATCAGATGATGAGAAGGTTGTGCTGCGCAGCCACCTGTGCACTGCTCGCTTCCACTTCCGCCATTAAACTGCCTGCGCCGGTCAATTCCAGCAGGAACGTTCCGGTTTTTAATGTGCACTATATTTTCCTAATTTCCGTCGTATAAGGCGAACGTGCGACTGGTTGAAACGCGCGCAGAAACCACTTTTAATAAACTGGCGATCCCAATCATCACCAAAGCCAGCTGATGCTGATGCAGCCACCTGTGCATCGCTCGCTTCTGATTCCGCGGCTTGCCAAGGCTTATTGAATTTACGGTGAACGTTCTGATTCCTATGTACCGCTAATGTCCATCCAATAGAGCGGAACCAAGGACTTGGTTACACGCGCGCCGAAAAAAGTTTCTCGAATAGACTATTCAAACATAATCAAAACCAATTGCCACTGACGGTCTCATACACAGCAAAAATTCCGTCTTTAGCACCCCTGCGATGTGATATCAGTTTTTGCAGATAAGGTTTGAAAGTTGCTGTGTGTCTGGATCTTAGCCACAGCCCGTGAGTGGACAAGTGTGCAGTGCCTGTACGGAACATCCATGTGGATCATCATCAATAGATGATTCCAAAGGTGAATCGTGTCATATTGAGTCCTGATGGTGTCAAGCGCAGCATATTTTGGACGAGTACATTTTCTTGGTGATTTTGCGGTGTTTCTTACTCAAATGAGCGGCGTTTTTGCTTGACAATGTTTCAAATACTACTTACCCACGGCAGTATCTCTTTGGAGTGACAGCGAAGTATCATATTCAGTCATCCGCAGGTTTCCTCCTGTTATTTCTCGTTATATTCTTTGACTCAACCTGTCATATTTATATTTGTCTCCGTCTCAGGGTATGAAACATATCTCCTGATGAGTGTAATATCTTTGTCGAGCTGAGAAAGATATCCACATGATGAGTACTGCGGCTTGACAACAACGTTTCATCACTTATCGCACGGACCAAGTGTGAACGACACTTGTAACAAGGTAACACCGTACTCGTAAACAAAGTACCAGCATCAGCGCCCATCCACAACTAAACCGAACCGAAGATCTCTAATCGCGATCCCCACGAGGACCAATGTAAATCATCATCGATCCGTCACACTTCAAAGTTCAATGTGATGAGCACATTCACCAACACGAGGCGAATATTCAAAGTTTGATACGATTTAGCTTTGTTATTTGTGGATGTAATCTCCGCACCGATAGGGCTCGACGCTCATGATATGATTTTTATATTATTTGAATTTCGAAGGACAAGATGATAGGTAGGGTTGGGAATTTTAGGGTCGGATATGAAAGGCCTCGAGATCATATCCGCATAGCTCTACGCCCAGGCGAGAAGAGGAACGTTCATGAGCGTTTCATGGACCCTAGGAATTCCGAAATCAAAGGGCAGTGGGCACTGCAATGTTTTGTCATGTTAGTTGTCATTTTCTGAACCCGTAAACTCCGTCGAGGCACAGGTGATTACCATCGAGGCGGTACCTGGCGGTGCATGTATACGAATAGTATACTTATACGAAAACAATGAGTTATTTAGGACCGGCGCTCTAGTCAACTGACCGACCCAGCGCTAGAAGGAGTTTGGATATATTACATTGATTTGATATCGGTCGGGTGAAATCATGGCGTGGAAAGAAGCTCGAACTGGGTATCGGAGAAAACAATGGAGCGAAGGGACTGATGGAAAGAAGATTGGAATTGCAAAGTGGGGTATCACAGCCTGAGGACGAGAGCGTGGCTCACCAAGGTCATCTGTCCTTGCCGATGAATCAGCATGGAACATTTCGTGCTCAAAGGATACATAAATCGATTGAATTGAAGGATAATAGATATTATTGCTGCAAAGTTGAAAGCCGAGGTATTACGGCAGAACAGCGCCCACTACTAGCCTCTGTTATCACAAACTGTGAATCATAGGTACCAGATATCACATGCATAAGTTTCGAAACAGTCAGCCGCGGGGTAAGCCGCCGATACCCAAGGAAACGCTATTCAGGACTAAAACCTAGGAAAGCGACGACATGATAAATTAGTAAGAGTGGCATGATAGGGGTGAACAGTCAGAGGACAATGAAATATGCCCGAATGTGGAGAGACGGACTATCAAAACCCGCAGCCCTAGCGTACTACGAACCGGTGCGCTTTCCCAGAATGTGAATGACGCGGTTTGTGGGAAAAAAATGGAGAGAAACACAGGAAGCGCCCCCTGTGGAGATTGTTTTATCCCGTTGGGTATTTCCACGTCCCGTTACAGTTCGTTGCTCTGTCGGAAGCGCTTTCGGCACCTTCGCATAGCCGTGCCCGACTCATTAAGACGCGAAGCTCGTTTCAGCCGCGGAATTTTTCCATTCGAAAGCGGGCGGTGTGATCACATTGTTAATGCGGGGTTCTTCTTGATTGACAGAACATCCGCAGTGCCACGTAACCTATGTCGTGGAGCTCTGAGGGACAGGCTATATGAGGCCAGCGCCTATGAGATTTACGTGATATGAAGTGGGACAAGCACTTTGTTCAAGTGACAATTTATCCAATGCAGATAGAAGCCCAACTGGGCCGACGGAACATAGCGGCCTTCATGGGACAAATCACAAAATAAGGGATGGGGCCCCATATTCCGCTGTGAACAATTCTCCTCGGGCTAAGGGGTTATAGTGGAAGACCCCGCAAGCATTTTAGGACTTTACCATGACATTCCCTTCACCGACGGGCAATGATACGCCAGCGCTATCCTTATCAGTGATTTGTGAGGAAATTTTTTGTCTTGTGATCAGATCAATTACGGAATTTTAGTAGGACTAGGTAGGAGCGCTTACAGGTACTGCGGAATATCATTATGAAGAGGCGGGACATCATACTAATGCCACGTCAGCAAGCGCCAATCCATTGTGCTCCACAATGCGGCTGTGGAACAATACGCCAAATTTGTCTCGGTGATTGAGATTCCCCAAATGCCTTGGACTGCCTCATCGCGGGGGATCGCCTTGATACGATTAGCAACACTGGCGAAAGCTATGTAACCACGTCACGCTGAGTGTTACTTGTATACAATTAACTGGACTCAAGGCACTCACCACAGTAGCCAAGAGAAAGTCCCGTCGGTTGCTGAGGCAGTGACTCGAGCTACGACGAAATAGGAAACTCAGTCTTACAAGTCATAGGCTTAACCGTGAGTTGCAACTATCGATGGGACTTACTGATCTAAAATATTACTTGCTGTAGATCACAATAATTCAGCCGATTCAGTCGGGATCATGAAAGCGACGGAGGAGACTGAGCGCCAACTGAGTGCTGCAAATAGATTGAAGAAGCTCGGCTGCCGTAAGGGTTAGCTTTAAGCGGGCAACAAGCACATGACTGCTTGGGAACGGCAGTGTTGTTGAACCAGTCCAATTTCCCAAGTCTTGTCACTCTACCGAGTGCCTGGTTCGTCGTCTTGTCCCCCCATTTTGAGGTAACTCAACTCAATTGAAACTCAAGTCATTTCTGTTTCCTGTCGGCAGCGGGCGATGCATTGATCTATTCCGAATTGCGCCCAGGAACATATAAAAAGTTCAAATGGAATCGTTCGTTCTGCCCATCATCCCTACCAATCACACAGTTCTGTTTACGGACAGCTACAGTCCACGTCAAGCTATAATAGAGCTGGCCCGCACTAGAATCCAATCACCCATTCCTACTACCACACAGACTATCACTATGCCTGGCAAACACGTCCGCTTCCATGAGGAGAACATCTTCTACTCTCCTGCTCCATCAGAATCGACGCCCTCACCAACTATCTCAGAGTCGTCGTTACCATCCTCAACTGGACCGATTACGCCCCCTCAACTGAGGGAGCTCTTCATGCGTTTGGGCCCTGTTGCTATCCATCCAATTCTTGCCTACCACCCCTACGTTTTTCCCATCAACTATGACGTCTCATACCCACCTAATACCGCCTCCGCTAACATTCGCGCCTCACCTATCAACCTTGATTCCCACTGCCTCGCAGAACCTGCTACCAACCCTCCCATTCCCGTCCTCTCCCTCCAGAACGACTTCCTTCCATGGCGTTGTGAAATTCGCGCGTCGACATCTCATTACGTCACCGTGGAGGACGTTCTCATCCAGCTCTACCGCTTCCTCCGTACACCGGGGACGCGTGAGGAGTTCAAAGCAGCTCCTAGCCAGCACGTTCGGGACACAGTTGCAGAAACATACCACAACCGATGCTTACGTGCCTCTTCGGCTGAGGCGTACGCGGAAGAGCAGCGGAAGGGGTTGAAGCGAGTAGACTTCTTAATGGGGCGCACTACGTTCATGGGGCTGTCCAGCACAAAATTGGGTCCAGACGCTTGGGTGCTGAACCTACAATGAGCGGTCGCCGCTACACTAGCAACGGAAGACGGGCAGCAGTAACCGACAGCGGTATTCATTTATTATCCTTATCCATATCCATCAACCCCCAACAACCTCGCATGTCACGGACGCATTTCTCAAAAAAAAACAGATATCGACGACGACTGGAACTCAATAATGGACACTGTTACTTTATCATATATAACAAAACCCACTCATCATCGTTTCCTTATTGTTACACTTATATGCTATATACCTTACCCACACACACTCTTCGTCTTCGTAGTTTTTCGGTTAGCCGTTATTGTTGTAAATTTAGTGTATGTTCGGGTTGTAGTCTCATTTTCTTGGTCGTCGTTCGTCGATATCGCACTTTTGTTGTACTGTAGAGCACGCTTGTAGACCCATACATGTCATGATATTGACGATGACCCTATTCGAGTTTTTTCACAAGATGTCCTTGGATACCTTTTTTTACTTCTGTTAGTCTTGGGCCCGGACATGCCTTGATTAGGAATAAGACAGCTTGGCATCAACCCCTTGTGGAGCAAGAAAGAGAGCGGGATACAATCGGAAACGTGGGAATTCCTAGGGTTAGTTGATCCTCGGCGGCACCGCAACGTCGACGACAATGATCATCACCGAGCTGGAACGTTCCCTCCAGATCCAAATTCCCTACTCACGTCGCACGTTCGCAGCAAGATCCGCTGCAGTGCATCAGTTCGAACACACCTGTCACATAGCACCCATGTAGCGATCTCTAAGGAAGATAGTTTCTATGCTCTATGTATACCTATGTAGACGGACCATCCCTCTCGAGCTTGGACCCGATGTCCAGGAGACGATGCGAAAAGCGACCTAAATAACTTTCCCATACGCATATGATCGGCAACGACGGCACGTGCTCGATCATAGATTAGTTCCCAAATCGGGACTAATCTCGGGCCATTCATTTATGTCCGCTCCTTGCCTCCCTCCGCGACATAGCTGTGGTGACCGCATGCTTGCGTCATAGATTCTGGGAGACTCAGGGATGGAGTCGAGGGGTTCGAGATGTTTTTCTTTTCTTTTGTGAACTATGACCACGAATAATACGAATACGAATACTTCGAAGAATGGAGGTGAGAATGGAGGGGGATTTTCAGATAAGCTCAAGTATGTTCCCTGTCTTGATTTCATTATTCGAGTCATTTAAACAATTCCGCAGAGGAGCTGCTCAAGTTATCCATGGTAAACCCATTCCATTCATCATCGTTCTAGAAATACAGACGGTTATAACCCTCTTTGATTGAATTAGGGATAGGCGACAATCTTCGAGGCACGGCACTTGGCAGTGCCGATCGTGCTACGAGCTCTGTAGCTGGCGTGCAGAAGAACGCTGATTTGGTCACGAAGGGCCGTGCCGAAATTGCGGAGGGTATGGCGAGGATGAAAGGTCATTCGTCTGCGCCTCAAGTTGCCCCTGCTGGAACAGCCCCCCCTGGAACGGCGCCTGCTGATCAAGGAACGACTGCGGGGACTGGTACCAGTTCCGGTACTGGCGCCGCAGTCGGCGGTGCTGCTATCGGGGTGACAGATCAGGGTCGACAACAGGGAACGGGTGACGAGAAAACAAGCGCACTTGCGGGAAAGAGCGGACCTGAGTCAACAGGTTAGTGTTTTGCAACGTTACGTCCCCTGTCGATGAGGTAATCTTTTTAATCAAGGTCCGGGTGCCGCTCAGACTGGTCGTGAGGCTGCCGTAGGCACAGGCGCAGCACACGAGCAGAAGGACCCTGGTGAGGCTGCTGCAAGTACCGGCGCAGCGCCCGAGCAGAAGGGCCCTGATGAGGCTGCTGCAAGTACTAGCGCAGCGCCCGAGCAGAAGCAACAATACCCTGGTGCTGCCCAGACTGGTCGTGAGGCTGCCGTAGGCACAGGCGCAGTGCACGAACAGAAGGGTCCCGGTGAGGTTGCTCCAAGCACGGGCACAGCGCCCGAGCAGAAGCAGCAATACCCGAGTACTGTAAGTCAGCAAGAAGGAAAACGTGACGATCGGAATGTCCCAGAGCATTCACAGAGCGGCGACATCGGCCAGACTCGCGCGCAAGGGACCGCAGAGGACCGCCCTCAGCAGATGGGTAAACGGTCGTCCCAACAGAAGGTAGATGAACAATGCAAAGCAGAACAAATGGGTGTCCAGCAGGAAGGTGGGCAACAGGACAGACGGGTGGGCGCGGGGGAAGGACGGTGCGAAAGGATTCATTTCCAGGGTATCTCGACGGACGAAGGAGATGAACAGTCTCAACAAACGGCAGAAAAACCGCGTGAGCTAGGACAGGACTACCACGGTGTCCAGCAGGAAGGTGAACGACAGGGCAGATGGGTGGGCCCCGAGGAAGCACTCCGGTGCGAACGGGTTCATTTCCAGGGTATCTCGACGGACGAAGGAGATGAACACCCGTCTCAACAAGCGGCAGAAAAATCGCGTGAGCCAGGACAGATTGGCCACGGTGCCCAGCAAGAAGATGGACAACAAGGCAGTTAAGCGTGTGATGCGCAAGAGGGAGGAAATATACGTTTCCAGGATTTCCAGGGTTGCGGTATCCGATTCTCGCAGGAATGCAAGTGAGGCAAATCAGCGGCTTCCGAGGTTGGTTCTGACTGGACGGTAATCATTAGTAGGAGAAAATCTAGGTACCGGAATGTAAAAATGATTCTTATCAGTAGTCTGTTAAATAGGCTGTTCTTTCTGCAGAGTGCGGCTAGTGGGCCAGAAATAAAACGGGACCGTCGGAATTGCGATGTTCCGGTGAGATACCATGGGTATGTCACAACGTCCTGTAGAACGCGGGAGTTGAAAGTTCGTTCTTGCCCACTCATGTTTTGGGACTGGCCTAGCTGCATTGAAACGGCTGTAAGTTTCAAAGAGCAAAAACAACCTACGGAACACTCGAAACTTAATAACGAGCTTGTTCCAATTTCAAGCCTCGCCTGTAGGACATTCAACTCGAGATCGTTATAATAGCCTAATCCATTTGGCTTCCCTTTTGTAGGGTGCGCTGAGCGCTCGCCACATGGTCCGTCTTGGCGACATGCAGATACCTTATTGCGCCATCATCAAGCGCTTTATCTCCCTTTGAAACGATAATACCATTTGTTCATATCTCCCACTCCATCTACAGGAATGTCCTGGTGGTCGCGGCTAAGCAAGCGGCAGAAAGAGAACCAGGACGACCGCGCTTCTGAATCACAGCTCAGCGAAAAGGATCAGAGGATTCAGAAGGAACCGAACAATGATACTGACCTGAATCCTGGAGGGTTGACCTTTGAAGAAGGTGCGGTTGCTCGCTATTCCTTCAACTTGCTCATCTGACATCATTCAGATACCGCTGGAGGCTTGGGTCGTCACCTTGGTGTAACTTCTTGCACTCTCCTTATCGTTGGGCGGATAATCGGCACCGGTATATTCTCAACACCGTCCTCCATCCTCTCCGGCGTGGGCTCAGTCGGTGCCTCCCTCATGCTATGGGTCCTTGGTTTCTTGCTTAGCTTCTGTGGCCTCTTCATATGGCTCGAGTTCGGCACCATGTTCCCTCGCAGTGGTGGAGAGAAGGTATACCTTGAAGCCGTTTACAGAAAGCCCAAGTACCCTCGCCACCGTAGTATTTGCTGCCAACGCTATATTACTTGGATTCACTGCGAGCGGTTGTATTGTCAGTCATCTCTTGTCTTGGATGGATATCCGGTGCTAAAACTTAATTGCTTCATCAAGGTTTTTGCTAGCAAGTGCGTATTTTGGATCCTAATGAAACAACTCGGCTGATATGATGTAGTATCTTGGTTGCTGCTGAACAAACCGCAGGTCGCTGGAATGAGCGTGGAATTGCACTCGGAGGTATGATATCCTACCTAACTGGCATATTACGGTTGTTTCATGGCTTTTAGTTATCTTTTTCGTAACCCTTCTGCATGGATTGACCCCCAAGACCGGCGTGCTAATCATGAATGTATGCAAGCTTCATTTTTACTCTACCATCATATTCAACATCTTTCTTTCAGTTGCTATCGATATTCAAGATCGTAATTCTGCTATTCGTCGTGGTCACAGGCTGGGTAGTTCTTTCTGGAAAAACCCGCGTGACAGATCCACACTATAATTTCAGAAACGCGTTCGCAGGGAGCTCCACGAGTAGCTATGAAGTGTGTTCAATTATATTCCTAGATACCCATCTGCTGATTATGGTCTTGACAGTATGCTACCGCCACTTTCAAAGTCCTGAACGCATATGCGGGATGGTCCAACGTGAACTACGTGATGAATAATGTCCGTAATCCAGTGAGGACGCTCAAGATCGCAGGCCCGCTCGGTCTTGGTATATGCGCCATTTTGTACTTGCTTGCAAATGTGGCTTATTTCTCAGCTGCAACCAAGGTGAGAACTTCTTTTGTGTCTGTGCCACGAATGAAATGCTGAATGGCATCGATAGACGGAGATCGATAACTCTGGTGTTACTGTCGCTGCTTTGTTTTTCGGGAATGTCTTTGGTTCTGTTGCGGAGCGTGCGCTAGCGGTTTTCATTGCTCTCAGGTGAGTTCGACGTCCTGGGTTTGAGAGTTTCCTGACTTGTTGTCTTCATGACAGTGCTCTTGGAGTGAGTCCTGTGATTTTTTTATCGTGATCTCTGTTTGATGATAGGTCATAGAATGTTATTACTATAGTAAGTCGAGGGATGCTATTGAAATGTGTAGCGCAAGAACTTTTCATTTAGACTTTTGCTGCCTCACGAGTAAACCAAGGTCCGTCATACCAAACATCGTAATTTTACCTAGCTCACACTTCAATCACAGAACTCGCAAAGGAAGGGATACCCTTACCATTCGGAAACAAATTCTGGGCTTCAAATTGGCCCACAGGGAAGTCCCCACTTCCGGGATTGATCATCCACTTGATACCCTCAGTAAGTACTACTGTAGAACCGCATGATATCCTTGATATCAATCTGAGATTGTTTTTTCAGGTCATCGTCATCATCGCGCCTCCCCCAAACATTGCTTACCCCTTCATTTTGGACGTGGAAGGATACCCACAGCAGATTATTAATCTCTTTATTGTCATCGTACGTCTTTCAACACTGTTTCTCGAATATGTCTTACCTCTTGATACCGGCAGGGTCTGTTCTATCTGAGATGGAAGAAGCCAAATGTTGTTCGACCATTCAAAGGTAAGCAAATATCTCGCTCTTCCTGTGTGGTATGTTAATGCATATGATGTAGTATGGTGGCCTCTCGCTGTATTCTTCTTGGCTGCTGCTGTCTTCCGTGAGTTACCAATCTACAACTTCAACACTTTCTTTCCCTAACCAAACCTCCGCATAGTACTCGTCGCTCCCTTCCTGAGACCACCCGGCGGCATTGGCGACACCCCACCACTACCATATTACCTGTACGTTTCTTCCACCAGCGCGTCCCTTATTCTCATTCCTCGCTTGTTCTGTAGGTATTGTCTCGTCGGAATCGCCATCATGTTCGCAGGTGTGTTGTACTGGGCTGCATGGCGAGTCATACTGCCCAAGGTATTTGGTTATGAGTTTGTACCGAGGAAGGAGAGGTTGGACGATGGAACTGTTGTCACTGTAGTGAGTGTTTGCGATCTTTATTTTGTGTTTGCTGGTTTTGATCACCGATCTTATTTTCAAGTTCTCGAATAAGAAGGTACAGTGATTCGGGAGTTGATTGGAAGTGCAAAAGAATTGGTCTTTGGATTAATTTAATGCGATGTTGTGGTATTCGTGTAACGCATGCGGTGTCGTACTACTAGAGTCTAGAACGAATCCTGAGGCTCGGTCAGCTCTGCTTCATGCCGAAACTCTTCGGAGGTTTTTGCCAACAACACCTGCGTTCTGAAGATCTGGCCAGTCACCAATCCCGTTGGAGTTCTTGCCTCTCATCTCATTTTTTGTTTGAATAAATGAACGCAAAAGTGCTGGTGAAACTGACAATCTGTTGTCATGTGTAGGGTCTATGCGGTCTTGATACGCTGTGTGACACCCCGAAGCTCTCGACTAAATGCATAGCACCAGCGCACGATGCAGATGACTGTCAACAAGCACAGCAACGCAACAAGAGCAATGCACCCTTGCAGCAGGTAATGCATATTCAACGCTAGCGCGTTCATCGTCGCAACCAGGTTTTCTACGAGCAGCGTAGTAGATGCGACAGTTGCGCTAACATCAGAGGAGAGAGCGTCTGTCTTCTGCTCGAGGTGCTCGACGGCAGTGATCAAGTTTTCCACGAGCAGCGTAGTAGATACGAGGGTTGTGTGAGCGTCTGAGGAGAGGGTGTCTGTCGTCTGCATGAGGCGCTCCACAGCGGTGATTAGAGAATTTACGAGATGCTTCCCGCCCAAGCTGTCTATCACTTGTTGGGCGATTTCGGCGTTGAAGATATCGATGATTCCCATTGATTGAAGGCCTTTGGGAGCTGGTAGGGGCTAGGATGTCAGCGTAAATTGTAAGTGAAAATCGTATTACTTGCTTATGAGGGCTTGAGGATTGAAGAATGCAGGTATAACGAACGCGGATGAGCCTGGACTCAGGGACGTCATTCAAGTTCCTACAGGCTGAAGCCATGCACTCATTGCACTGACACTCGTGGCCCATGCACTGCCCCTCTTAATACCTGACTTGGGCGTGCACTTACATGCACCACTGTTTTTGCCTGACTGGGATCCTCGAGGCAATATTCCATTTTGTGTGTTCCAAAACCGTATGCACAGCAACCTCGTGGCCTCCTGCAACCGGACAAGCACTCACTCGTCCTTGAACTGTATCCCATCATCCAGCAAGCTTTCCATAGGTTGAAACATCCATTTATCCCATCCTATCTCCATCACGCTTTGGAATCCTAAGTTGACAACTTACTTTGAGTTCCTTCAAACCTTCGTACGTAGTATATCTGGAGATAAATATTGCCCAGATGCATTTCTAACCGCACCCAGCTAGTGCTCTCAATTTGTCCATTTCATCACGCATATCACAACCTTCGCGAATGAGTGAGGAACAATGTCAGTTTTTCTCACTCTTGTCCCTCTCTCGCTTTCTGACCCTTTTTGACAGCTCTTGAAGGAACTTGGACGAGGCTGTCCCAAGTTGCTGTCAAGGGTGCTCAATATAACTCCCGTGAACGTCAGCCCCACCCGAAGTGTTTGGAAGGGACCCGGGTGGATCTCCTCAAATACATCCACCGATCACTGGCCAAAGAAGAGAAGAATCAACTTGTATGGCTGCATGGCACTGCAGGCGTCGGAAAGTCTGCCGTCGCGTTCACCGTAGCTGAGAGGATGAAAGGTCTAAAAGTGACAGAGGAGACGAATGTCGAAAAGCGGCTAGCGGGAACATTCTTTTTCTCGCGCAAGCTTACCAAACATTGCACAGCTGGATATTTCTTTACAACGCTTGCCTATCAGCTTGCCAGTAATTTTCCAAGCATCCGGCAGGATGTGAACAGAGCGATCCGCAACAATCCTGCTCTACTAGACCCAGACACGCCTCTCTACGACCAGATGGAGGCTCTCTTTCTCCAACCCCTCCGGAAACTTCAACTCAGATTGCGCGGGTGTCAGCCTCTGACGTTTGTTGTCGATGCCCTTGATGAATGCATATCCGAATCCGAGCTTACCGACCTCATCCTTTCCCTCGCGCAGGCTCTTCGTGACCCTGATATTCCCGCGACCCACATTCTGCTCACAAGTCGCTCGGAAACCCATATCTCTGAAGCATTTCAGAACGAAGAGGTGCGCCCGTTGTTGTGCGAAATCCCAGTGAAAACTTCTGGGGAGGGCGTTGCTGCCATCATCTCGCTCGACGGCGCCGATGTCGACACAGATATCTATATTTTCTTGCAGCATTCCTTCGCAAAGCTGGCAAGTCGCCATCCCGATTTCCCTCAGCCAACGAGGGATGAACTCGCACAGCTGGCGAGCCGCGCTGGCAGACGTTTCATCGTGGCATCTACAATGGTGAAGTTTATTATCGACGATAAAGACAAGGATCCCCGCGATCGGTTACAGCTGATGCTGAAGTTGACGAGCGAGCTGCTACCAGGAACGGAGGTCTACAAGTTATATGACCGTATCCTCTCCACATGTGCTAACCCCACGCGAGCATACATGCACTTGTCCATCGTCGCTGCCCTCGCAGACCCTCTTCCCATCTCGCAAATCTCGTCACTTCTTGGCCCTGGTTTGGGGTGCGATGTGCAGACAACCCTGATACAACTACGGTCTGTCATGGATATCCCTACAGACAGCACTCTCCCCATTAATATCTATCACTCGTCTATTCGCGACTATGTTTCCGACCCCTCAAACTGCAGCCTCCCTCAAGTATGCGAATATGATATGCCCTCACCCCACTCCCTACTCGCTTATTCTTCTTTTCGCTTGATGATGGAAGATATTCCCAAAAGCGCGGCCCTTCTGGATGTGCTCTCAGAACTGAAGAAACATAGCCAAGTTATGCAACCTGAGGACCCCCATCGATTAAAAGCTTCGCTATCCTTCCTTGTTCGGCCACCAGAGCCACTGTCAGCTCTCATCTGTATGCTATGGCTTCGGGGAGATCGCGCTTCAGATCTGCAATATTGGCTGGGGACCGTAGACGGGTGTGCCTGGGTGCAGACCACGAATGGGCGAGACTGGCTGGAGACCAAGGGAGGACAAGACTGGCTGCGGACCGAGGGAGGACGAGACTGGTTGGATACAGAAGGAGGACGAGACTGGCGGGAGACCGGAGGACTAGACTGACTGGATACCCAGGGAGGACGAGACTGGCTGCAGACCGAGAGAGGACGAGACTGGCTGCAGACCCAGGGAGGATGGGAGTGGTTGGAGACCGAGGAAGGATGGGAGTGGTTGGAGACCGAGGGAGGCCGAGACTGGCTGCAGACCCGGGGAGGACGAGAGTGGCTGCAGACCGACGGAGGACCAGACTGGCTGCAGACCGAGGGAGAATGGGAGTGGTTGGAGCCCGAGGAAGGACGAGACTGGCTGCAGACAGAAGGAGGACGAGACTGGCTGAAGACCCAGAGAGGACGAGACTGGCTGCAGGCCCAGGGAGGATGGGAGTGGCTGCAGACTGCGGAAGGACGAGACTGGCTGCAGACCGAGGGCGGAAGAGACTGGCTGCAGACCGAGGGAGGACGCGTCTGGCTGCATACCCAGGGAGGACGAGACTGGCTGAAGACCCAGAAAGGACGAGACTGGCTGCAGACCGAGGGAGGACGAGACTGGCTGCAGACAGAAGGAGGACGAGCCTGGCTGCAGACCCAGAGAGGACGAGCCTGGCTGCAGACCCAGAGAGGACGAGCCTGGCTGCAGACCAGAGAGGACGAGCCTGGCTGCAGACCGAGGGAGAACGAGGGTGGTCGCTGCAGACCGAGGGAGAACGGGAGTGGCTGAAGACCCAGAAAGGACGAAACTGGCTGCAGACAGAAGGAGGACGAGCCTGGCTGCAGACCCAGAGAGGACGAGACTGGCTGCAGACCGAGGGAGGACGAAACTGGCTGCAGACCGAGGGAAGATGGGAGTGGTTGGGGACCGAGGAAGGACGAGCCTGGCTGCAGACAGAAGGAGGACGAGCCTGGCTGCAGATCCAGGGAGGACGAGAGTGGCTGCAGACCGAGGGAGGACGAGACTGGCTGCAGACCCTGGGAGGATGGGATTGGCTGCAGACCGAGGGAGGACGAGAGTGGCTGCAGACCGAGGGAGGACGAGAGTGGCTGCAGACCGAGGGAGGACGAGACTGGCTGCAGACCCTGGGAGGATGGGTGTGGCTGCAGACCGCGGAAGGACGAGAGTGGCTGCAAATCTGGAGAGGACGAATGTGGTTGCAGACCCAGGGAGGACAAAAGTGGCTGCGGACTCAGGGCGGCCGAGACTGGCTGCAGACCGAGGAAGGATGGGAGTAGTTGGAGACCGAGGGAGGCCGAGACTGGCTGCAGACCGAGGAAGGAGGACGAGACTGGCTGCAGACCGAGGGAGGACGAGACTGGTTGCGGACCGAGGGAGGACGAGAGTGGCTGCAGACCCTGGGAGGATGGGTGTGGCTGCAGACCGCGGAAGGACGAGAGTGGCTGCAGACTGAGGGAGGACGAAACTGGCTGCAGACCGAGGGAGGACGAGAGTGGCTGCAGACCGAGGGACGACGAGTCTGGCTTCAAACCCCGGGCGAGCGAAACTGGCTCCAGATGCCCCATGGCCAAGCATGGCAATCCACTTCTGCGGGGTCCGTGTGGGCGACTGTCGAAGAATTCTCCAGCACGTTGGAAGCAATCAGCAGCTATATCATTGTCGCAGAATTGGCTTCATTGCCAACCTTCAAAGTAGTCCAGCAGCTTCAAAGCTTACCGGATTTCTTGATGTTTCCGATGTTCTTGGCGTTGATGCCCCAAAATCATTTTACCTCTGCATCGCCAGAAGTTCCTGACAGGGAGATCATTCATGCTATGAAGTTCTTTATAGCTTTTGCAAAAGAGGTACAGGAACGAAGTCAATCATCTTCCGACTCTCTCAAGTATGCATCTCAAAACTGGATTGTTCACCTGTCACGTGCTCCAAATCCATGGGACGACAGTCTCAACCATATATTCCAGGCTTTCTGGAATCGTCACCTCCTTTCATGGCTCGAATGGCAGTGGTGTTCGAAGGGACTGCGGTCTTGTCTTGATATTTTATCCGAGGGGCAGAAACTTGCAAAGGTTATTGCCTCGCTTCAGGTTTGACTTTCTTCATTTTGTGAAACCTCTTTTAATTCTCTCTCATCCTCAGTTTGAACCTTCAACACACAGCCTGATGAATGGTTGTCAGCCATCGGTCCCAATTCCTGGCACTCAACAACGGAAGCTTCTGCTACCCCTCCCCTCTCCGAGGCCCAACACCGCTGTTGGCACATCCAGAAAGCGAACTTTGGATGAGCTTCAGATCAATAGCAACAGCGCACTCGAATCGGATACCTCTAATAGCCTATCAAAACGTCGGACATGAATTAAACAGTGTTTGCGATGCAAGACTGGCAGGAGCACCAGTGGGACACCAGATAACATTTAGTCCACCGCTTGTCATTGTCTCTAAGCATCTACCAGCGTCATGACGTAACTATTTAGACGAGTACCTTCGCATTCACTTTTTGTTGGCAATGTTTTGAACTATTGTTTACCACTAGTTCGTGCTAGACTCGTGACCAGTCCTGTTAAACCTATGAGGCAAGCCGTCGATAGACGGACTGGTCACCTTGCTGTCATGTTCATATGTTGGTAAATATGTGTCAATGTGTCCCAAAATCACGTGATTTCATCAACACCCAGCAACCCTAAATTCTACCATCCGGCAACATATTCCAGCAGTGGACTGGAACTCATCAATGAAAGTAGCGCAGGTCATACATCTAAACAGTACTGTAAGCCATACACTGTGATACATCCCCATCTGTCGTTATCCACTGTCCATTTTGATGTATCAGAATACATCAGGAAATCACCGAGTTACTTTTCGCACTTAGACCTACTTGGAAATATCACTAAAGCGGTCAAGGAATAAACCGTGATAGCGGTTGACTCGGATGTCTGGAGCCAGGGCCAGGCGTCGACGTCATTCAGGTCCCTACAGGTTGAAGCCATGCACTTACACTCGTGGCCTATGCACCGGATGTGCACTTACATGCACCACCGTTTTCGAGGTAATATTCCATTTTGTATTTGGCAATTCCATAGGACCATATATAACGTTGGTTGACGTTGACTCAAGCTTCATCTTGAATAAGTTGTACTTATTGCCCCGCATTCTATCGTATTTGCAGTCATGATCGCCCGACGCCGAGCCCCCTTACACTCACTGCCATGCATTTCGCCAACCAGCCCTTCAATATGGACTCTTTCCTGACCCGAGAGA